CTTTTATTCAGGATAAATCAACAATGATGTAGTGCCGTCTCCATGCCCGCTCATCTGTCCATTTACCCACCTACACGTCTGCCCACTCACCCACACCACAAATCCGCGTAACCCCACCCACCCACCTGTCCGACTGAATGCGTCCACCGTGCTGTTCATTGGCATTATTCATCCCTCCATCCACGCTTCTGTCTTCCATCTATGCCTGGCTACTCTACCCATCTATCCACCCATCCACCCACCCACTCATCCACCCATCCACCCACCCATATACTCACCCACTCACCCATCCATCCATCTACCTACCCATGCATCCACCCATCTGTCCATCCATCCACCCACCCACCCACTCATCCACCCATCCACCCACCCATATACTCACCCACCCACTCATTCATCCATCTACCTACCCATCCACCCACCCATCTGTCCATCCATCCATCCACCTATTCATCCATCTGCCCACCCACCCACCCATCATCCATCCACCCACCCACTCATCCATCCACCCACCCACCCATCATCCATCCACCCACCCACTCATCCATCCACCCACCCACCCATCATCCATCCACCCACCCACCCATCATCCATCCACCCACCCATCATCCATCCACCCACGCACACGTGGATCCACCCACCCATCATCTCTATGTCCATCTCCACCCCTCGCTCTGGCCCACCTCCCATCGTGTGCTGGGCCACCCTCTTCCGTACCCCCCTGGTTTTAGTATTAGGATGTTTGTGGTCAGCATGGTCAGCTCAGACTTCTGTATTCTGCCTCCAGAGCTCGAGGAGGACCAGGCACTGCTGCCCCAGGCCTACCTTCGTAACACCAGGCACCATGGATTGGCATGCTCTGATTGCTGGCTTTTGTGGAGCCACCAGAAAAGCCAGGAGCTGCAGCGGCTTTGGTGCTGTCAGAGTGGCATGACAGGCCATGTTCTTGGGGCAGCAAGGGGAGGCAGGAGCTGTGGGGCTGGGCCAGCTGTGCCCCTGGGCACCCGGCTGCGTGCTCGGCAGGGACAGGAGGAGCAAGGCCAGTGTCCCCATGGTTTCAGCACGAGTGAACTGCTGGGAGTTGCGAGGTCGGTGTCCCTAGGCGCTGGCTGGGAGATTCCACCATCCTGCTTCTCTTGGAAACCGTGGGCCATGCTTGCTTGGGAGTGACGCAACACACTCCAGCTGCCCTGGGGAGTCCCCACTGGGCTCCCTGTGCCTTGCGTCATGGTATGGTCCCCATGGCCGCTGGGCAGGTCCATGTGGGCCATGGTGCAGCCACCTGCCTGCCCCTCTCGGGCAGGTGGGACACAGCCGCAACTGAGTATTTGCTGAGTAGATGGGGCATACGTCGGCACTCTCCCTCCCTCCCTTCCTTCCTCTTTCTCGCTCTCTCTCTCCCTCTTTCTTCCTTTCTTCCTTCCTTGCTTCCTTCCTTCCTTTTTTACTAGAAAGGCAGTTTTGCAGAGTGGAAGACAGGCGCAGAGAGACAAAGACCTTGCAGCCGCTGCCTCAGTCCTCAAAGGGCACAGTGGCTGGAACTGAGCCGATCCAAACGGATCTCCCACCCTGCGGCAGGGTCCCAGTGACGTGAGCCGTCCTCCGCTGCTTTCCCAGGTGTGTCAGCAGGGAGCTGGATGGGCAGTGGAGCAGCCGGGCCCCTCCAGGGTGCTGCTGTCATCGCTGGGCCTGAGCTCCTGTGCGTTGATGTACAGAAATGTGAGCTTGACCTGGGATCGGTGGTAGCCCCAGGGCCAGCCCCTGGACGGCGCCTGCTGCAGACAGACGCTGGGAGCAAGGGCAGTTGGGGAGTTGGGCTTCATCCTGCACTGGGGACCCAGCCTGGTCCTGGCAGCAGTGTTTGGGAGGTTGAACCCGGGGGTGGGAGCCCTCTCCTCCGTCGCCGCCGCTTAGACAGACACATGGATAAAATTAAAGCTTGCCACGCCCCGTGTAACACGCAAAACTACAGACTGCGGGCCAAAGCAAAGGTCGAGTGTAAGATCTGAAATGATAAAATGTTTTTAAAAGGAAATCTTTTCCTTAAAACTAAATTGGGCGAAGATTTCTCAGGCCACAGAAACAATGAGCGGGCCAGCCCAGTGGCGTAGCAAGTTAAGCCTCTCCCCGTGGCATGGGCATCTCATAAGGGCGCCAGTTCGAGTCCCGGCTGCTCCACTTCCCATCCAACTCCCTGTTCATGACCTGGGAAAGCAGTGGAGGATGGTCCAAAGTCTTGGGACCCTGCACCTATGTGGGAGATCCAGAGGAGGCTCCTGGCTCCTGGCCGGTCCAGCTCTGGCCATTTGGGGAGTGAACCGGCAGATGGAAGATTTCTCTCTGTCTCCCTGTGCCTGATAAGCCAGAGTTCCTTCAAGTGGAACTTCACTGCTTCTCAGAAAGAGGACAAGGCAGCGACCGAGTGTTCAACATCCAGGAAAGCCTGAGCTTGTGCAGGCAGAGCAGGCTGCAGCTCCCCACCCCCAGCAGAATGACTCAGTTTAAAACTGGGCAAAGGGTTCAAAGAGATTGAGACGACACAGACGAGTGCCCAGTGTGGGTCTGAAGTCATCAGAACAACCGAAATTAAAACCATCGCAAGGCAGCGCCGGCACATGCGTGCAGGCAAACGAGGCCGTGAGGGGCTGCCCAGCGCCGTGCTCGGGGGTACAGGCACCACTTCAGGCCGGCAGCGCCACCGCTAGGTGCCCACGCATGTGCCCACGTGCCCCTGTGTGTGGGTCCCAGTGCTGCTCAGCTCAGAGGAAGTGAGGGAGGGTGCGTGTGGAGCCCGGTGGGGGAGGAAGGAGGCGACGCAGCCTCTCTCCCGGCAGACAGACCCCTCGCTTGGCTTGCCGTGGGTGGGGCTTTCTGTTGTGAAGATGGCTGCCATGGCCGGAGCTGAGCTGATCCAGAGGCAGGAGCTTCCTCCAGGTCTCCCGTGTGGGTGCATGGGTCTGTTTGACGGCTTGTCTGCTGTCGGTCGGGGCGTGGGCCGTGAGGTTTGCCCGTGGGTGCTTGCTGGTTCCCAGCCTGTTCTGAGCTCCTGCCCATGGTGGTCACCCCAGGCCTCTTCCTGCCGGGAGCCCCGAGAAAGGGCAGGTCTTGGGAGCGCCACCTGCCGGCCGGTGCTGGACCTGATACCTGACGCAGAGGGGGCAGGGCCGGTTCAGCGCACAGTGGGGCTGCAGCGCACAGTGGGGCTGCTGCCTCTGCTTGCCGAGGGCATCCCTTTTCGGTGTTGCTTTTGCAACAAGTCGTCTGAGTGGACAGAAGAGGCCTGCTCTGTGCTGTGTGGGTTAAGCCTCTGCCTGTGATGCTGCCATCCTATATAGGCATCGGTTCAAGTCCCGGCTGCTCCACTTCCTCTCCAGCTCCCTGCTAATGGGCCTGGAAAGGCAGCGGAGGACGGCCCAGGGTTTGGGCCGCTGCCCACACACCCCTCGGGTTTTGCCTGCCCAGCACTCACTGGTCTGTCTGCCCTCTTCTGTCTGTGACCTTTCCTCTTCCATTCCTGGTTTCTTACCTGAGGCCACCACCAGCTTGGGGACTGGAGTGGAGGCTCAGCCCCGGGGGGGTGCGGAGTGGGCATTGGTCAGCGCTGCTTCTGGTGCATGGTGCCAGTGCCCGGCCCTGCTGGCATGAGTGCCACCTCAGGGACAGCGCAGTGCGGATGGCAGTGGCTGTGGGTGGTACAGGCCCCTTGAGGACTGGAGCCAAAGCCCTGAGGACAGGCCTGCGGTGGGCGAGAGTGGCGTGTCCCCTGCTCAGAGCCTTGCCGTGAGGACCACGTGGGCCACGAGCCAGCAGCAGTGTGTGCCGCCGGGCGCCTGCCAGGGCCTCCCCACACCTGTTCAAAGATGAGGCTTTTCTTAGCTCTGGCACAGGAAGGCCTGGGCCGGCAAGAGCTGTGGCACTGGGCCTGGGAAGTGTCCGGTGGCTGTGGTGTGCTGCCACGGAGGGCTGGGAACATGTCGGCAGACATGACTGGCATGCAGCCCTGTGCCTTCCACGATGGAAAAGACAGGTGGCTGGGCAGAGCGGCATGGCTGCTTCCGATGTGGCCCCAGGGTGTGCCAGGTGGGAGCCCCGCCCCCTTGGCTTGACCCCAGCAGCCCCAGAGTCCAGTTTCAGAGAAAGAGACAGCCGGGGTCTTGTTTGGCAGGTGCAGTGACGGCTGGCACAGCGGCCTCTTCCGCGGTCCAGTCCAGGCCTGGCCCAGCTGCGTTTTCATGTCGCTCCCGATGGCCAGCGGACAGGGTTGCCCTGCCAGGGCTCTGTCCCCGGCGCTGAGCACCACAGAGGGGCTGACCCAGGAGCTGTGCGTGGTCCCTGGGGGCATCGCAGACCTGCCCTTGGGAGTCCAAGGGTGGGAGACAAGGGTCTTCTGAGACAGCGAGTGGGGGCCTTGCTTCAGTGCTAAACTGGGGGACCCCTGGCCCCCGTGTTTCTGAGCCTCCTGATTGGGTGGACTAGAAGATGCCTGCAGAGGTGTGATGCAGAAGAGGCAGGGGTGAGGAGTGAGGGGCAGGCGATGGGGAGGGGCAGCCACTCTGAGTTGCTGCCGCTGGGTTGCCTTCCTGGTCTGGTCCAGCACAGCCTCCTCCCTGCATGCTGTGCTCGCCTGCGTCCCTGCTGCCCACACTGCCCACCCTGGCCTGGCCTGCAGGGCTCCAGGCCCCTGGCCTGTCGGGCGGATCCCTTGCTAAGGGCTGCAGGACAGGCAGTGTGGCTGCACAGCCGCCCCGGGGCAGAGGGGTGCAGGTTCCTTGGAAGCAGCATGAGGGCCCCATGCCCACAGTTCCTGCTCACTGGCAGGACTTCCTGCAGGGTCAGCACTTGGGGAGGGTGTGGGAAGCCCTGGTTCTCATCAACAGACCCCGCCCTCCTCTGTCTAGGCCACGCCCGTGGGTGTGGTCATGTGCTGGCCCCGCCCTCATGCCTAAGTCCCGGCTATGGAAGTGGCCAGTGTGCTGACCCCGCTCTCCTGCCTTTTGCAGCTCAGCCCGCCGATCTCCTGAAGGTTCTGGATTTCCACAACCTGCCTGATGGGGTCACGAAGACCACGGGTTTCTGTGCCACGCGCCGCTCTTCCGCTGGTCCTGACGTGGCCTACCGCGTCACCAAGGACGCCCAACTCAGTGCGCCCACCAAGCAGCTGTACCCCGGTAAGAGGCGCTGGAGGGCAGGGTCTGGTTCCATCAGCCTGGCTGAGGCCCGGCAGGAGGGGCGAGGCAGGCAGGGTCTGGTCCCATCAGCCTGGCTGGGACCCCGAGCAGGAGGGACGAGGTGGGCAGGGTCTGGTCCCATCAGCCTGGCTGGGGGGCAGGAGGGGCGAGGCGGGCAGGGTCTGGTCCCATCAGCCTGGCTGAGGCCCGGCTGGAAGGGCGAGGCAGGCAGGGTCTGGTCCCATCAGCCTGGCTGGGACCCCGAGCAGGAGGGACGAGGTGGGCAGGATCTGGTCCGCTCAGCTGGGGCCCGGCAGGAGGAGCGAGGCAGACAGGGTCTGGTCCCCTCAGCTGGGAGCCCAGGCAGGAGGGGTGAGGCGCTGGAGGGCAGGGTCTGGTCCCCTCAGCCTGGCTGGGGCCCAGGCAGGAGGGGCGAGGCAGGCAGGGTCTGGTCCCATCAATCTGGCTGGGGCCTGGCAGGAGGGGCGAGGCGGGCAGGGTCTGGTCCCATCAATCTGGCTGGGGCCCAGGCAGGAGGGGCGAGGCGGGCAGGGTCTGGTCCCCTCAGCTGGGAGCCCAGGCAGGAGGGGCGGCACAGGCCAGGTTTCCGAGGGCTCGTGTTGATGTGACAGCAGTTACTGCCTGCTGCTGTGTCCCCCTAATGTCCCACGGTGGGCAGGTCAGGCTCCAGGCACAAGCAGGAGGTGTGAGACTCAGAGGCACTTGGGGTCGGGGCCTGAGGACCGGCCTGCAAGCCCAGCGGCCCTCCCGGGGGCGTCCCTGGCACAGGGTGCGGCTGTGGGCGGTAGGACTGCCTACCTCTGGCTTCCCTGGCCACGCTCGCCCCCCTGCCTGGGAGAGGCGGCCTGGCCCCACATGGGCTCCTCCTGGGGGTCTCGCCAGGAGAGGGGCCGGGATCTGGCCGTCCGTGTCGCTGCCCTGTGTGGCCCAGCCTGGAGCCAGATGCCCTGTGCTGCGTGCCTGCGCAGCCCGCATGTCTCCTGGGAGCGGGAGCAGCCTCTTGGTGGATGGGCTGCACAGCAGCTGTGAGGATGCGGGGCGTTCGGGACGGGGCGGGTCTGCTCCGCCTGCAGCGCGTGGCCAGGCTGGGGCCGCTGCTCATCTCCGTGCCCTCCGCCAGCGTCTGCCTTCCCTGAGGACTTCTCCATCCTGACCACGGTGAAGGCCAAGAAGGGCAGCCAGGCCTTCCTGGTGTCCGTCTACAACGAGCAGGGCATCCAGCAGCTGGGCCTGGAGCTGGGCCGCTCGCCCGTCTTCCTGTACGAGGACCACACCGGGAAGCCGGGGCCGGAGGACTACCCGTTGTTCCGCGGCATTAACCTGTCGGACGGCAAGTGAGTGGGCACGCGTGCGGCCCTGGGCGACATGCGGGGCAGGGGGTGCAGACGCCTCCACCGCGGCTGTCCGGCCTTTGCAGGTGGCACAGGATCGCGCTCAGCGTGCACAACAAGAACGTCACCTTGATCCTGGACTGTAAGAGGAAGATCACGAGGCCCCTGGACCGCAGTGACCACGCCATAGTGGACGTCAACGGCATCATCGTGTTTGGGACTCGGATCCTGGACGAGGAAGTGTTTGAGGTGAGTCCGAGTCCTCCGTCGGGGGCTGGCAGGTGTGGCCACGGCCCTGTGGCCGGCTGTGTGGCAGTGTGCCCGGCTGGCCATTTGCAGACCTGTGTTCATGGGTACAGACTCAGGAAGCAGCATCGCCCCGGCTTTAAACATGTAAGAAACGGCAGCCTGGGGGTTCTAGCCGGACGGGTGCCCAGCCGGGGCAGACCTGCTGCCAGGGAGGCAAGGCTGGAGATAGGGCCTCAGGGGGAGACGGCACGCTGCCGCCCAGGAGCCCACCTTGGTCTGCCCAGGAGGCCGTGTCAGACATCACAGCCGCTGAGTGGCTTGGGCCTCTGCCGTCCCTGGAGTGAGGTTTTAAAACTTGGGAAACGAACTCGGAAGAGTGCCTTGCTGTTGGGCGATTCCAAGGGCAGGGCTTCCCGCTGGCCGCACGCCTGCCCTGCTGGGATGACTTCCGTCCATCCCTCAGAAGCCCCTTTGTCCCCCCGGCTCTGCTGGGCGCCGGGCCAGCAGGAGGGACTTCCCACTGGGGCTTGCTCAGCCTGTGAGTGTGTGTGGGGGACAGAGGGGACTTCGGGGGGCAAGTGTAACCCACAGAGACCATCCCCACGGTGGGTCTCAAGGGAGGCCCCGAAGGGGAGCGCTGAGTGCTGCGTGCTGCCCGTCTCTGCCCCATCAGTGCTGTGTGCCACCCAGCTCTGCCCCATGGGTGCTGCCTGGCTCTGCCCTGTGGGTGCTGCCTGGCTCTGCCCCGTGGGTGCTGCCTGGCTCTGCCCTGTGGGTGCTGCGTGCTGCCAGGCTCTGCCCCGTGGGTGCTGCCTGGCTCTGCCCCGTGGGTGCTGCCCGGCTCTGCCCCGTGGGTGCTGCGTGCTGCCAGGCTCTGCCCTGTGCGTGCTGCATGCTGCCCGGTTCTGCCCCATACCCATGGCCTTTCTAGGTGGAGATGTGGGCAGGGCAGTGTGGCCTTGGCAGGGGGCCTGGGTCCCTGGGCCGCTGGTGGCCTCCTCTTTCCAGCCTGGGCTCATCCGTGCCCAGGGAGGCAGCCTCAGTGTGGGTGGGGCACGAGTGGTGGGTGTGGGGTACATCCGCCCGGTGGTGCTGCGTCAGGGTCAGCTGCCGGAAGGACCCTGGCCTGCGGGAGGAACCCCTGCATGGCCCAGCATAGGGCAGCCAGCAGGGTCTGGGCCGGAGCCAGAGACACGGCTGAGCTGAGGTTGGCAGGGCCACCTGGTGCCAGCAGCTGGCAGCACTCCTAGCCTCCGTCTGCCTGCCGAGGCCCAGGCGCTCACAGGGCCAGGCTGGTGACCTCATGCCCGGGCCCCTCTACCAGGGCCTGACTTTTCCACTGAGCTGTTCTTTCCGAGCTGTGCCTCCTGGGACAGGCGAGGGCCTGGGACTCAGGCTTGCTGCCGGGAGCTGTCCCATGCCTTGCCTGAGTGGCTGTGCTGGTGTAAACTGGGTGAGGGACAGAGGGGGGACGGGGCTCAGGTCCCCCAGGGTCCAGTGGGCACTCGGACACATGAGCAGGCCAGGGGTGGCAGAGGCAGCCTGAAGGCAGGTGGAGGCTCCCAGGGCGTCGGGCTGTCCTGCACGGGCTCGCTGCCTCCAGGAGCCACTCCTGCACTGTGTCCTCTCGCCTCAGTGACCCCAACTGACACAGGAACATGGAAGCTTCCAGAACTCAGTGGTGGGCATGGGGTCTGGTAGGAAGTAGGGAGGTGCAATGCTGGGCTTCTCCAGTGCAGGTCCCGGGGCAGGGGTGGGCGGGTCAGCGAGGCCATGGTCAGGCCAGAGGTCCGTGTGTGGCCATGGTCAGGCCGGGGGTCAGCAAGGCCATGGTCAGGCCAGGGGTCCGTGTGTGGCCATGGTCAGGCCGGGGGTCAGCAAGGCCATGGTCAGGCCAGGGGTCCGTGTGTGGCCATGGTCAGGCCAGGGGTCTATGTGTGTGTGGCCATGGTCAGGCCGGGGGTCCGTGTGTGGCCATAGTCAGGCTGGGGGTCAGCAAGGCCATGGTCAAGCCAGGGGTCTATGTGTGTGTGGCCATGGTCAGGCTGGGGGTCCGTGTGGCCGTGGTCAGGCCGGGCAACAGCTGGGAGGGTCCGCCTGCTTCAGGTGTCACCCCGGGAGCAGCTCCCCGCCCCCCCCCCCCCGCGGCAGCCTGCTGGGGGTCGTGAGTGAGTGCGGGGACTGTGAGTGAGGGGCGGGGGGCATGAGTGAGGGCGGGGACTGTGAGTGAGGGCGGGGACTGTGAGTGAGGGGCGGGGACTGTGAGTGAGGGGCGGGGGGCGTGAGTGAGGGCGGGGGGTCGTGAGTGAGGGTGGGGGTCCTGAGTGAGAGCGGGGACCGTGAGTGAGGGCGGGGGTCGTGAGTGAGGGCGGGGGCGCATGAGTGAGGCCGGGGGCTGTGAGTGAGGGCTGGGACCGTGAGTGAGGGCGGGGGTCGTGAGTGAGGGCGGGGACTGTGAGTGAGGGGCGGGGGTCGTGAGTGAGGGGCGGGGGGCGTGAGTGAGGGCGGGGGGTCGTGAGTGAGGGCGGGGGTCCTGAGTGAGAGCGGGGACCGTGAGTGAGGGCGGGGGTCGTGAGTGAGGGCGGGGGCGCATGAGTGAGGCCGGGGGCTGTGAGTGAGGGCTGGGACCGTGAGTGAGGGCGGGGGTCGTGAGTGAGGGCGGGGACTGTGAGTGAGGGGCGGGGGTCGTGAGTGAGGGGCGGGGGGCGTGAGTGAGGGCAGGGGGTCGTGAGTGAGGGCGGGGGTCCTGAGTGAGAGCTGGGACCGTGAGTGAGGGCGGGGGTCGTGAGTGAGGGCGGGGGTCTTGGGCCTGCTTCAGGCTTGTGCCCTTCCCGGAAGCTTTCCTTGGAGCCCTGCCATCTGTGTCAGCCTGGATTCCTCCCACAGTGGGAGGCCCAGCGGGCACGGGTCCTCCCACGGGTTGGGGGCCGCAGATCTGAGGCTGGTGTGGCCCCGGTCTCCCCGATCTCCCCTGTCTTGTGGGGACCCAGGCGTGGGCTCTGGGGCCCACTGTAAGTCTCCATGACTCTTGTGTGGAGCCCTGGACTTAGGACTGCCCGGCGTGAGGGTCAGGGTGCTGCTTCCTGACCCCTTGTCCCTCCTGGCACTGGGGAGCAAGGGGCAGTGGCCTCCCCACCCCCAGGGGGCTGGGGCGCAGGGTGGTTGGTTCTGTCATTGGAACCTGGGGGGAGGGAGCCAGCGAGAACCTGCACGCCAGGGGGTCCCACATGGTTTGTTCCATGGAAACTATGAGCAGGCTCTGCCTCTGGCCCAGACGTGGCTGACGTCACAGCTGGCCTTCCGGTGACATCATGCAGGGCACAGGGTGGATGCTCTGTGCCTCCACTGGGTGCGGGGTGAGGAGGGTCTCCCTGCTGGGTGGTGGCCAGCAACCCTGCAGCTGCTGGAAGGGAAGGAGGGAGCAACAGGGGTGGGGTGGGGCAGGGCAGAGCAGGGCAGGGCAGGACGGGGTGGGGTGGGGTGGGGTGGGGTGGGGCAGGGCAGAGCAGGGCAGGGCAGGGCAGAGCAGGGCAGGGCAGGGCAGGGTGGGGCAGAGCAGGGCAGAGCAGGGCAGGGCAGGGCAGGGCAGGGTGGGGCGGGGCAGGGCAGGGCCCTCCCAGGGCTGGGAGCTGCACTGGAGTGGTTGGGGAGGCTGCCACTTGCCCAGGTCAAGGCCTTGCCCCCTACTTGCCTTCAGCCCCAGCTGGAGCTGGGTTGTTGGGTTCAGGGTGAGGCTGGGAGGGGAGAAGCAGGCCCAGCCTGGAGCCGGACATGCCGCTGTCCCCCACCTCCCTGTCCCTCCCCCAAGTCCCCCCTTCCTGTCCCTCCTCTCTGTCCCCTCCTTCCTGCCCCCATCCCGTACCCCTTCCTTTTTCCAGTACCTTCTCTCCCACTCTCCCTCTGCATGGAGGCTGAGCAGCAGCCCTGGTCAACGGGAGGTCCTGGCTGTGGCAGTGACTGTCAGACCATGAGCTGTCAGCGTGGTCGCCCCTAAAGCTCAAGCCCCATCTCCTCCCTGATCGTGCAGTCTCCGGGAGCCCGGTGGGTGGGCTTTTCTCCCCTCGTGACAGTCCCAGGGCCCACAGTGCTCCTGGAGTGGCACGGTGAGCTGTGGCTATGCCTGGACAGGCCATGTGGCTGGGGTGGGGAGCAACGAGGACTGCTGTGGCTGGGATGATGACATGACGACAGTGATGGTGATGACAGATGGCAGCCGTGGCAGGTGTGACAGCATCCTGGTGTGACAGTGACAGATGGCAGCCGTGCCTGATCGGGCTCACGGTCCCGGTGGTGGCTGGAGACTGTGACCAGAGTTCTGGGGCAGCTGCCCCCTGCAGATTCAGGGCGCTCCTGGAGGAGGGTCTCATTCTCTTTTATCAAGAAACCGACATGTGGAGCAACCACGCCGTGTTATGTCCTCACAGCTGTTAGTGGTCAGGGCAGCTCAGGCCGCTGTGCCATCTCGCCCCGACTGTGCCTGGCCTGCATCTGTGTGTGTGTGTGTTGGGGGGGGGTGGAATGGTCCCTGGGGTCTGTGTGGGTGGGAGGGGCAGGGCTGAGGCCTTTCCCAGGAAGGCCGCCCTGCCTTGAGGTCCTTGGAGAGGGGTGGGCTGCTGCCCTGCAGGACCCCTTCTCTCTCCAGGTGGCTGGGCTGGCTGTTGTGTGCTGAGGTCTGTATGTTTCTGGGCCACCTCTGCCCCATCCTCTGCTCTCCTGCCAAGTGGTAGGTGTGCGCATAGCACCGGCGGTGTGGACCCAGTGGTGTGGGCATGGCACCAAAGGTATGGGAGTGGCAGCAGCAGTATGGGCGTGGCACCAATGGTGTGAGCATGGCACCAGCGTTGTGGCGTGGCACTAGTGGCGTGGGTGTGGACGCAGCAATGTGGACTTGGTGCTAGTGGTATGGGCGTGCCATCAGTGGCATGGGCGTGGCACCAGAGGCATGGGCGTGGACCTAGCAGTGTGGACGTGGACCCAGCAGTGTGGCAAGGCGCTGGTGATGTGGGCACGACGTTAGCACAGATGTGAGCATATTGAGCCATGTACCTCCTGGCGCGGGGCCGTAGGTGAAGCAGGCCAGGGCTGGTCTTCCACGCCACGCCAGGAGTGCCTGTGAGGGACAGTGGGAAGGGTGTCAGACATTAGCAGATGTTTAACCTTTGCATGAGACTCCTGGTTGTCCCATTCCATCTCTGAATTTCTCAGAGTTTAAGGGTATTATGGTGGTTCCTGAGTGCTGAGCAGGGATGGCTTATGCCCTGGTGAGGTGGAGCCTGCCCACGCCCAGGAGGAGCTGTTAGAGGGCCCGGGGTGATGCCAGAATGTTGGTCCTGCCCAGCGGGGTTCTGTGGAATACCTCAGTCTGCTGGCCCTGGCTAAGCATCCATGATGGCCTGGGGTTCCTGAGGTTGGACGAAGAAAGCTGGCCTGGGTCCTGTGTGTACAGACTTTGGGCCCATCCCGGCACCTGTGGCCTCTGCGGCACACTGGACAGAGGACCGCCAGCAGCTGCTGTGGAGGTGTGTGCTCACACGGGCTGCACGAGGCATGTGGCCCAGGTGGACGCCTAACCCAGACAGTGCAACAACGCCAATGCTGGGAGTGACAGTGGTGGCAGCGATGGTGTCTTGGTGTGACAGTGAACTGGTGTGTGTCCTGGTGTGAGTGTGTCCTGGTGTGACAGTGGCCTGGTATGACAGAGAACTGGTGTGACAGCGTCCTAGGGTGAGTGTGTCTTGGTGTGACAGTGTCCTGGTGTGACAACGTCCTGGTGTGACAGTGTCCAGGTGTGACAGTGTCCTGGTGTGTGTCCTGGTGTACAACATCCTGGTGTGACAGTGACCTGTTGTGACAGTGTCCTGGTGTCACAGTGTCCTGGTGTGACAGTGGTGGCAGTGATGGTGTCTTGGTGTGACAGTGTCCAGGTGTGACAGTGTCCAGGTGTGACAGTGTCCTGGTGTGACAGCGTCCTGGTGTGAGTGTGTCCAGGTGTGACAGCATCCTGGTATGACAGTGTCCTGGTGTCACAGTGTCCTGGTGTGACAGTGGTGGCAGTGATGGTGTCTTGGTGTGACAGTGTCCAGGTGTGACAGTGTCCTGGTGTGAGTGTGTCCAGGTGTGACAGCGTCCTGGTGTGACAGTGTCCTGGTGTGACAGTGTCCAGGTGTGACAGTGTCCAGGTGTGACAGTGTCCTGGTGTGACAGCGTCCAGGTGTGACACTGGCCCGGGATTGCAGTGACCTGACTGTGATGGTGCAATGGTGACAGCTTGCTACTCCCTGCCTTTGTCTTTGGGTCCTGGTTGTTGCCATGGTGTCCGATGTCCTCAGGAGCTCCCGGTGGTCCCTGGGTGATGGGTTGGGTCCGTGATTGATGGGTGCACACAGGGGCGGTGCTGAGATGGATGGGTGATGCAAGTGGATTTAGGAGTGGGTGATGGATCTCTCACAGGTGGGTGGACCCTTGGTGGGTGGACAGCCCAGAGACTCAAGTGGCTTTCAGGGCAGGAGCTTCCCAGGTGGTCAGTTGGGTTGTGATTTGGAGGCCAGCTATGCCCCATCCCTGCCTGAGCGCCCTCTGTGCCCTGTGGGTGCCGTGTACACTGTGTCCTCTGGGCCCCGTGGGTGTGTGTGCACTGTGCCCTCTGGGCCCAGAGGGTGTGCGTGCACTGTGCCCTCTGTGCCCCGTGGGAGCGTGCACTGTGCCCTCTGTACCCCGTGGGAGCGTGCACTGTGCCCTCTGGGCCCTGTGGGTGCGTGCACTGTGCCCTCTGTGCCCCGTGGGAGCGTGCACTGTGCCCTCTGGGCCCCGTGGGAGCGTGCACTGTGCCCTCTGTGCCCTGTGGGTGCGTGCACTGTGCCCTCTGTGCCCCGTGGGTGCCACGTGCCTTGTGTCCTCTGTGCCCGGTGGGTGCCGTGTACACTGTGTCCTCTGGGCCCCATGGGTGCATGTGCACTGTCCTATGTCCTCTGTGCCCCGTGGGTGCATGTGCACTGTGCCCTCTGTGTCCCGTGGGTGCGTGTTCACTGCCCTGTGTCCTCTGTGCCCCGTGGGTGCCACGTGCACTGTGCCCTCTGTGCCGCGTGGGCGCGTGCACTGCCTGAGCACCTGTCCTTTGCAGGGGGACATCCAGCAGCTGCTCTTCGTCGCGGACCACAGGGCAGCCTACGATTACTGTGAACACTACAGCCCTGACTGCGACACGGCCGTCCCCGACACTCCCCAGTCGCAGGACCCCAACCCGGATGAATATGTAAGTTACTCATGAGGGGCCCAGGCTCTGGGGGGGCAGAGACCAAGGAGCCCGCCCCACTTCTGCAAGCCCATCAGAGGGGCTGGGTGTGAGCCCTACGACCCCTGCTCCCAAGGCCGCCTCACAGGGGGCTCTCCTATCTGACCTCTGACCTCGGCTGCTCATGCCATTGGCATTGTGTCCAGGCTCCGGGAAGCATGAATCCCGGGCTTGGGCTGAGCACCGTGGGGCCCCCCAGTCTTGGGCCCTCCCTGTACCTGACACCCCAACCTCTCCATTTCCTACCCAGCCCCTCCCAGTGGGTCCCCAAGCCTGAGGTCAGGGCAGGCTGCCGGGGGCAGCCCGGCTGGGTGGAGACCTCAGCCTGGGGGACCGGGCAGCCCGTGCGTTCTTAGGGTTGCTGTCACCTTGGGCCACTGGAAGGCTGGCCTGGGCAGCTCTGTGCTGCAGGAGCCCGCCTGGGCAGCTCTGTGCTGATGGAGCCCGCCTGGGCAGCTCTCTGCGGCCTCTGGGTGCCCCCTCCGGCTCACGTGCCCTGTTTGCTGTCAGTACCCAGAAGGAGACGGCGAGAGTGAGCCCTACTACTACGAGTACCCCTACTATGAGGACCCCGACGACCCCGGCAAGGACCCCGCCCCCACCAAGAAGCCGGTGGAGGCCACGGGAGAGACGACAGAGGTCCCCGAGGTTCGTGTGCGCTGGGACAGGGTGACCGCCGTGCCCCCACCCCGAGAGGGTCCCTCACGGCGCGTCTCTGCCCTGGCACAGGAGCTGACCCAGCCGCCCACCACGGAGGCCGCTCCAGTGCCCGAGGCTGCCGAGGGCGCCGGGCGGGAGGAGGCCCCGGGCGTCGGGGACTACGACTACGTGCCCGTGGACGACTATTACACGCCCGCCCCGTACGACGACCTCAGCTACGCAGAGGTCCCCGAGAGCCCGGAGCAGCACCCTGACCGCCGCCCCGAGGCCGAGGCGCCCACCGGCACCCCCGACGCCACCAACTCCTCCAATGTAATTCCCCTCCCTGGCGGGTGGCGCCCTCCAGGCCTGTGGGCAGGAGTGGGGCTGGGGTGGGAGCCTGGTGCCTCTTCGCTCTGTGGTTAAGTCCTGGGGAGGATCCTGCACCCCGAGCGCCCCCAGCTGCAGACAGAGGATGCCCCAGCCTGCAGGCCAGGGGCCTGCAGAGGTGGGGAGCTAGCCTGCCCCCTGGAGCTCCGGGCTCCCACGGGCACGATGGCCAGTTGTAGCTGGGCTAAGGCTCCTGGCGCCTGCTTGCACGTGGCCGTTGTTGCTGGGAGGGTTCCTAACCCTAACCCTGCCCCGCCCCCGTGAGCACCCCCGGGTGTCATGAGTCCAGATCCCCTAATCCTGGCACTCCCAGCTCCTGGCACAGCCTGCCTGGGCGGCCCTGGGTGTGGCTGTGCCCCCAGCCCTGCTGACCCTGCCACTCCGTCCTCTGCAGCCCGCCCCCGCGGCAGGGAAGGAGGACCCAGAGGGGGAGTTCACAGAGGAGACCATCAGGAACCTGGACGAGAACTACTACGACCCGTACTATGACCCCGACTCCACGGCGTCCCCGTCGGAGATCGGGCCAGGCATGCCAGCCAACCAGGACACCATCTTCGAAGGGGTGAGAGGGCGGAGGCGGCGGTCACACCGCTCACGGGAGAAGGTGGCCTGGACCCAGGACTGTGAGACGCGCTGTAGAGACAGCCTGGGGCCGCCGTGTCCCCGGGCTGACGGAGTGCTCCCTCCCACATGTGGCTCCCGTCTCCCTGGCCCACTGACGGCCGTGGATGCCATGCGCACCTGCCACCCAGTGCTGGCGTTTGTCCTGTCTGTCCTGTCTGTGCTCAGCCGGGCTGTGCTGTCCCACGCTGTGGCCTGTGTGGCCTGCTGGGGTCCCTGCCCGCGGGCTGGGCGCCCTTGGCCTTGCAGTCCGCCGTCCGCATGCTGACTTCTCTGTTTCCGGTGTGTCCTGCCCAGATCGGAGGCCCACGGGGTGAGAAGGGGCAGAAAGGGGAGCCAGCCATCATTGAGCCGGTAAGCGCGTCTCCTCACTGCTCACCTCCCCTCCCGCCCTCCCGAGCTGAGCGCACCCGTGGGTCCCTGTGGGGGCGAGGGCGGAGGGGGCAGTCACAGGAGAGGGTGGGTGCCCCTCACCCCCAGTGCCTGGGGGAACCAGACAGAGGCCTGTGCGCAGCTCGGGGTCCAGCACGCAGGTCGTGGCTCTGGGAGAACCGTGGCGTCTTTGCTGGGGAGGGGGCGCCTGGGGAAGGACCCTTCCCATTATTCCAGGCCCAGTGTGGGCGGCTCCACGGCCCTCACGCCCCCTCCCCAGCCAGGGCCACCACGCGTGAGCCTGCGGGGGGCTGGCCTGAGCCTGCGGGCCCTGGGATCCCCGCACTGACCTGCGTGTGGCCTCGCGTGCCTTTTCTCCCTCCAGGGCATGCTCATCGAGGGCCCCCCTGGCCCTGAAGGCCCCGCCGTGAGTGTCTGGGATGTTGGGGAGGGCGGGGGTCCCTGGCTAGGGAGGAGTGTCACCCCGTGTGCAGACCCCCAGGGTCAGGCCCCCGCGCCCACACCTAGCCCCAGGCCCGCAGCTCCATCTTGAATTTACCTTTGTTTCTAGGGTCTCCCAGGACCTCCTGGAACCATGGGTCCTACTGGCCAAGTGGGGGACCCCGGAGAAAGAGTGAGTGTGACCCTCGCTTCTCTCTGCACTCATGGGCCAAACCCGTATCCAGCGGCAGCTATGGTCAGCCACCAGCTGCAGGGCAGTGGTCAGCCCCAGCTGCAGGGCGGTGGTCAGCTCCAATGGCTGCAGGGCCGTGGTCAGCCACCAGCTGCAGGGCGGTGGTCAGCCCCAGTGACAGGGCCGTGGTCAGCCCCAGTGGCAGGGCCATGGACAGCCCCAGTGGCAGCCATGGTCAGCCACCAGCTGTAGGGCCGTGGTCAGCCCCAGTGGCAGGGCCGTGCTGCAGGGCAGTGGTCAGCCCCAGTGGCAGGGCCATCGTCAGCCCCAGCAGCAGAGCCGTGGTCAGCCCCAGTGGCAGGGCATGGTCAGCCACCAGCTGCAGGGCCGTGGTCAGCCCCAGCTGCAAGGCCGTGGACAGCCCCAGTGGCAGCCATGGTCAGCCCCAGCTGCAGGGCGGTGGTCAGCCCCAGTGCAATGTGGACTGGGAGGTGGCGAGGGAGCCCCTGTGCTCTGGTGCCTGCGTGTAAGTCATGTGAGGTGGAACCCCCGCCTCACCTCCCCAGTGTGGACACCGAGCCCCGACCCAGGAGGGGCCGAGCTGTGCTGCAAGGCCTCGGCCCTGGAGCCGCAGCTGCGCCTGTCCTGTGGGGTCCTTCTGCCCCCTGGCGACCGCCGTGCAGTACTGCAGCCTCAGGCTGCTCTGTGGAGGCGCCTGCTGTGGGTGCCAAGGGGGCATCTCGGGGCTGACTCAGGGGTTGAGGTGTGAGTGACGGCGCCAGGGTCCTTGTGGGTGTCTAGGCGTGCGTGCCCCCAGGCTGGGTGCAGTGCCAGGTGACCCTGCTGGGAGCGTGCACGGCCGGAAGCTGGGCCGGGGGCCTGACTGCCTCACAGGTGTGGAGTTGGGGTCAGCTGCAGACCCCTGGGGCCTACTACGAAGGGGTGACCGGGAGCAGGAGGCGGCCTCCGGGCCAGCCCCTTGGGGCACTGTCTGCTGGCGTTGGGAGCTGGCAGGGTCAGATGGCATTGGGGACTATGGGGTGTTGGCCCCACCCGTGTCCCTGCTTCCTCTGTCCCAGACGCAGCTGCTTCCTGCCACGGTCCAGCCCTGGGCTGCCCGTTATAGGCGCCGGCTCCCACCCTAACCTGGTGCTTTCTGTCCACAGGGTCCCCCGGGACGCCCGGGCCTGCCTGGGGCCGACGGCCTGCCAGGGCCCCCGGGCACCATGCTCATGCTGCCCGTGAGTACCCAGGCTGCACGGTGGGCAGGGCTGGGGGTGCCCTGGCCGCTTCGGGCACCATGGGTGCCGGGAAGGATGTCCTGGATATGGGCAGGGACTCCGGGGCTGAAGCTGACCGGGTGCCCGAAGTGGGGCTGGGAGGTGCCACCGTGGACGGGCCAGGGATTCCCCTGGCACCCCATGACTGTCCCCCACTTCCTGTTGCAGTTCCGCTTCGGAGGGGGCGGTGATGCAGGCTCCAAGGGTCCCATGGTGTCCGCTCAGGAGTCACAGGCCCAGGCCATCCTTCAGCAGGCCAGGGTGAGTAGCCCAGAGCTGGAGTGACTGGGGACGCCGGCCTGGAGCCCCGAGTGCCCCAGTGTGTTCCGAGCTCGGGGTCCAGCGCCAGGCACATGGAGCAGCTACAGGGTGGGGGCTGTGGTCAGGAAGCAGTGGCCCGCACGGCCACCCTGACACCCCTCCGTGTCCTCCCCTTCGTAGTTGGCGCTGAGGGGACCTGCTGGCCCGATGGGTCTCACCGGGAGGCCCGGCCCCATGGTAAGTGGCCGTGAGCTGGCGCTGTGTCCCTGCAGAGCGCGGGGTGCCAACCCGCCCAGGGCCTCTGTCCCGGCCAGTGCTGACCCTGACCTCTCCCCTGCAGGGTCCTCCTGGGAGCGGAGGTCTGAAGGGTGAGCCGGGAGACATAGGGCCTCAGGTATGTGGGGGTCTTGGTGCGCGGGGCCCTGTGCTTGCTCACAGAGGAGGCCCGCTCTCGTTGGTGGGCGGCGTGACCATGGGCAGGACAGAGGCTGGCTCCCGTTGGTGGGCGGCGTGACCACGGGTGGGCAGAGGCTGGCTCCCGTTGGTGGGCAGCATGACCATGGGCGGGACAGAGGCCAGCGCCTGTCAGAGGGTGGCCATGACCATGGGCGGGCAGAGGCCGGCTCCTGACCCTGGCATCTTGTTCCCGGCCCTTGCTCTGGCGTGTCTGTTCCCATGCCCGTCACAGTGATGTCCTGGCGTGGGCTGTGGGCGGGCTCCAGCTTTGCTCTGTCTTCCTGAAGTCCTGGCCTTACCCTGACCCTTCCTGTTGCTCTGCTCCCGGCAGGGTCCTCGAGGCGTGCAGGGTCCCCCCGGCCCCACAGGGAAGCCTGGGAGACGGGTGAGTGTCGGGCAGTGAAGCACCTGCCTGCGTGTGCCAGTCCCGGAGTTCAGGGGCTGCTCACCCTGGGTCTTTGGGGATCAGCAGGGTTTTCCTTGGGTCCTGTTGGCACCTGGTAGAGTCATGCCAGAAACAGGAGGTCATGCGGGGGAAGTTTCCAGAAATGGGAGCTATGGGCTTCCACCTGCCCATGCGGATGGAGGAGTATGGCCCTGGGAGGGGCAGGAGGGCTCAGCTCGTGGCTCCTGGATGCCCCACATCACAGCTTCTGAGAGCAGCTTGGTGAGGGTTGTAGAAGCTTCCGGAACTTTGAGGGGTGAGGACCTTTCTGCCGGTGGCCCTGGGTGTCTGCTGAGTCAGCCCCCTCTGTTCCAGGGTCGTGCTGGCAGTGACGGTGCCCGAGGCATGCCCGGCCAGACAGGCCCCAAGGTAGGTGCCTGGCGTCACGATGATGGCGTGACCTGCCTGTGGCTCCCGTGACACGGTGGTGGGGCAAGTGAGGGCCACACCGGCAAGAATGACCGGCACTGCTGGCTTGCTTAAGGAGCGCAGAGATGGGATCCCAGCAACGGGGACCCCTGGTGACAAGGGACCCAGCCACACACGCGGTGTGGACACAGGACATGTGTGGCCTTGGAGGCTGCCTGGCATGGTCACATCCAAGGCACAGCCGTCCAGTGCACCCTGGGGAGCTGTGGGCTCCTGGCAGAGCGGGGGGGCTGTGTTCACCTGCTTGGAGGAGCAAGGCCTGCCCCCCGGGCTACCCCCGCGGGCGTGCTCATGGGTCCGTGCCCATCCTGGCCCAGCCCTGCCCATCAGTTTATCTGAGGCCATGGGAGGGTCCAGTGGGCCAACAGACCTCACTTAAGGGACCCGTGGCGGGGCGGCAGCTGTGCAGCCAGATCAGCACGGGCTGGGTACCTCCCGTACTGTCTCCTAGGCTTGGTGACTGGAGCCGCCAGGGCGGGGCAGCCACGTCAAGTCTGTGCCACGCCCTTGCTTCACCCACAGTTAGTGCCGCCCCCAAATGGCCCACCATGGCTTCGCATTGGTGACACCCCTGAGCCAGGATGGGCAAGAGTGCTGGGGGCAGGGCCGGGGAGCCGGAAGAGGACAGGCAGGGGCCCTGCCCTGGCAGACACACACTGTGCGGCTGCCCCCTGGAGCCCCCACAATCTCAATGTCTGCGAATGTGCTTGGCCTGTAGCCAGGGGACCGAGACGGCCACTGCTGTGGGACAGAGCGGCCCCCCGGGTGCCTGGGTGCCGTGGGAGGGTGCGTGTGCGGCACTGGTGGGACAGAGCAGCCCCCAGGTGCCTGGGTGCCGTGGGAGGGTGGTGTGTGTGGCTCTGGTGGGACAGAGCGGCCCCCGGGTGCCTGGGTGCCGTGGGAGGGTGGCATGTGACACAGTTCTCTGCCGGCCCGCAGGGTGACCGCGGCTTCGACGGGCTGGCAGGGCTGCCAGGGGAGAAGGGCCACAGGGTAAGTACCCCCTCCCTCTGGGTTCCTGTTCCTCGGGGCGCCTTCTGGGGAGCCTCAGGCACGAGCACCAAGCAATCCACCAACACTTGTCTTGAGGGTCGGCGGTGGGAGTGAACCCCAGAACGGGGTCTGTGTGGCTGGAGGCAGCACCAGGATGGTGACACACAACACGGGGCTGACACACACACAGGGCAGACACACACAGGGTTCACACACACACACAGAGGGCAGACACACACAGGGCAGACACACACACAGGGCTGACACATGCACACACACACACACACACACACACACACACACACACACACACAGCGAGTACGCGCCATTCTGCCAGTTCTGCCGTCTGTGCTGACGACACTCTGAGAAGCTGTTGCTACCTGTCTGCCCCCCCACACAGCCCCAAGGGCACCCCCACCTTGGGCCCGACTGTCCACGCCCCAAAGCTGCAGGGGCGAGGCAGGAGCAGGGCAGGGGCGAGGCAGGGGCGGCCCTGCCCTCCTGGACCTCCCTCCCAGGGACTGCGTCTCAGTGGACACACACAGAGCATGCTGGCCGAGCAGGGCACCCAGGGGTGCCCCGTGGGCGTGGCCCTACCTGGGCCTGCTAGGCCACCTGGTGACACTCGGGCCAGGGTCTTGGCGTGGTCCGGGGCGGCCACTCCGGGGCGCTGTGACAGAGGGTGGGCGGCTGGGTCAGCGCGAGTGGCTAACAGCGTGCTTGACTTCCTAGGGCGACCCGGGTCCTTCCGGCCCTCCAGGACCCCCAGGAGAGGACGGAGAGAGGGTACGTGCCCCCCAGCTGCCCCAGCCTGGCTGGTGTCCGTGAGCCCGCCTGCAGGTGGAGGGAGGGCTGCCGGACGGGGCTCCAGGGGCACACATGCAGGCTTCGTGGGGCTCGGGGTGAAGGCTCATGGCCGTGTCTCCTGCACGGCCACCTCATCGTTGGGCGAAGGCAGGGGGACCCCAGCGTGGTCCGTGTCCCTTGAGGATGGGGGAATCCTGCGTTCACAAGAAATGTGTGCACACACATGTGGTGGGTGTGTGACTCGGGACCTGCATGCGAGGGGGCTGGCACGCCTCTGCCAGAGCAGGAGGAGGCTCCGTCCACTGCCCCCGCTTGCCCCAGCCTCTGCCCCCCAGCACTCACCTGCAGCAGGCAAGGCCTCCGGGTGTTCCCCTAACAATCCCCTCTTCTCGCGCACAGGGCGATGATGGAGAAGTCGGACCCAGGGGGCTGCCTGGGGAACCGGTAGGGCTGCTGGCCGGTGGGGTTCTGGGCTCTGTGTGTGTGTGTGTGTTAGGGTGGGGGTGGGTGGGGACGCAGGCCTCAGGGGAGGCTGCTAGGAGCAGGGTGGGGCGAGGCCTGCAGAAGGCTGTCCCAGGAACAGGCTGGAGCCGGGCGTTTGCTTGTGAGAAGGCAGGCGTGGGGGGCTCTCCCGGGTCTGCAGACCCCCTCCAAGTCCAGGTCTCCTTGGCGAGTGCTCTGGGGCTGGGGAGGGGCAGCGTCCAGGCCGGGTCATGGGCCCCGCCAGAGGGCCCTGCAGGCACCGCCGCCCTGTCCCAGGCGCTGCCTGACTCCCAGTGCTGACGGAGAAGAGAAGTGGAGTGAAGGGGTGTCCATGGAGGGTGGGGGCACCTGCGGCGTTGCACCATTCCTCCCATTTCCTGTTGCAGGGCCCCCGCGGTCTGCTTGGGCCCAAGGGACCCCCCGGCCCTCCTGGACCTCCGGTAAGTCCATCCCTTGTACAGCCCTTGAGACCTCACTGCCCCACGGGGGTCGCTCTTCAAGCTGCCAGCCGTGGACGTAGGGGGCTGCAGGCTGTCCCTGCACAGGAGCCCTGGGATGCCTTGGGTTAGCTCCCTGCTAGAAACGTCTAGAAAGCGGAAGAAGCGCCGGTCCCAGTGGGCGGGCTCCTCAAGGCCAGCCTGGCCTCTCCTCTCCCTGCCAGCCCCTCTGGGGTGTGGGGGCGTCCCTTGCCTGGGGCCTGACAGCACAGCGTCCCTCGGTGGGCAACAGCGGTCAGCAGGTCCTTGGGGAAACCTGAGTGAGGACAATACTGTCCCTGCTGGGCCCCACCTCTCCTGCACACAGTGGGCGTCTCTGCCATCTCCTGCACACAGTGGGTTGTTTTTCTCTCTGCCATCTCCTGCAGGGTGTGACGGGCATGGACGGCCAGCCAGGGCCAAAAGGAAATGTGGTGAGTCCCTGGGGATCGTGGTTTCCTGGCCTGGCCCAGGTGACCCTCCTGCTGGTGTGGGGGTCTGTGGTAGCTGCAGTGGCTGGGACCTGTGGACGGAGGCACAGAGCCCTCACCCGTACAGAGCGCCGAGTCAGCCCCGGCGTTGGCAGGCTGGAGGAAGTCCACGCCCCTGTGCCTGTTCCCCAGTCGCCCTGGGGACTCTGACGGCTTGGGGACTAACATGTGCGACCCTTCTGGTTCCTGGATGGGTGTCGGGTGGGTTTGCATGGGCGAGTTGGCTCCCCCATGCCGGCTTCCCTGCTCTGCTGTTTGAGCTGGGACCCCCAGCCCTCCAGCTGGCCAGAGCAGTCTGAGCAGCCGGGACAGGGTGGGGTGTAGGACCTGCATCTCAGGGAGGGGGTACAGGCCCAGAGCCCCCTTAAGTGCCACTGCCTTCGTTCCCCACAGGGTCCTCAAGGAGAACCAGGACCCCCAGGACAGCAGGGTAATCCCGGGGCTCAGGTGAGTGGCCTGGGGAGGGGAAAGTTCTGTCTAGTGGGGGGAGCCTGGAATGGCAGTGCCCCCACCCCCTGCCAGGCACCCACAGTGCCGGGGAGGGCCTGGGACCAGGCTGGGACAGCAGGGTGGCCGGAGGGTGTGACCCCGCCTTCTTCCCCCCTCGCAGGGTCTCCCAGGCCCCCAGGGCGCCATCGGTCCTCCAGGAGAGAAGGTAGGTGGGCCGAGCCGTGGCCGGGAGTGTGAGGAGCATTGCTCGTGTCCAGCTCCAGGCTGGACACCGCTCCCCTGGCCAGCCTTGCCCTGAGCGCCAGGGGATCCCCTTGGTGAGCATGGCAGACGGAGGCTGCGTGCTCACTTTGCCAGCTCACAGCCTGCTGTGTCTCCCCGGCTCCTCCTGGGTATCTGGGTGGTGTGGGGAGGCCCAGGACTCCCTGATTGTGCTGATCTTGGGGTCCCCACACTGGGGGGCCTCTCTGATGCCCCCTGATGTTGTTTGAGTCAACAGGCCACGGCTGGGGCCGGGTGGGGGCGGTCATGGCAAAGGCCCCTGGGGCCCCCAGCCCCTGAGCAGGTTGGGAGGGAGGGGTGATGTGCCCATTGAGCACGGGGTTGTCCTGAGCAGGTGGTGTGGGTAGAAATGTGGGAGAGAGCTTGGGGGCAGCTCTGGCACAGCTGCCGGGATGGCACCGGGGTTGCCCGTTACTATGTCCAGGCGTCTGGCTTAAGTCCCGGCTCCTGCGTGTGCAGTCCTGGGAGATGACAGGGGCAACCCACGCCCATGGGCGACCAGGGTGCACTGGCTCCTGGCTTCAGCCTGGCCCAGCTGGGGCTCGTGGCTGGCGTTTGGGGAGCAAGCCCATGGCTGGAAGTGGTGCCTTCCAGGTTAGCCGCAGATAAAGGGAACATTAAAAGGGTAAACCGAGTCAGCCTGGGGCCCAGCGAGGCCGGGCCGGGTTTCCTCAGCACTCGGTCTCCTTCCAGGGTCCACTGGGGAAGCCAGGCCTGCCAGGCATGCCCGGTGCCGACGGACCCCCGGTGAGTCGCCCATACAGCCTGCCCCTCCCCGGCCCGTCTCCACCGCAGGAGGCTGCGCCCATGGGGCAGCACAACTGGGGAGGCCCGTGGGTGCCCAGGCTTCTCCTGGTCTGATCACCGGGTTTGGGAGGGTCTGTCATGTCACTGGTGATCATGTGATTGCTCTGGGCTCGCTGCTGCAGTGCCAGCCCAGGGCCTGGCATGGCTGAGTCCTCCTGGGTCTCTGGGTTCACTGCTGCAGTGCCAGCCCGGGGCCTGGCATGGCTGAGTCCTCCTGGGTCTCTGGGTTCACTGCTGCAGTGCCAGCCCGGGGCCTGGCATGGCTGAGTCCTCCTAGGGCTCTGGGCTCACTGCTGCAGCCCCGGGCCTGGCATGGCTGAGTCCTCCTGGGCTGGGGGCCCTGGTGGCTAATAGAGGTCCTTCTTCTATGACAGGGCCACCCCGGCAAGGAAGGCCCCCCTGGAGAGAAAGGAGGCCAGGTGAGTGCTTACCTTGGGGAACCGGCTCAGCCAGTGCCTGTGCCAGGGCCCCCAGCACCCTCAGCTTGGCAAGGAACAAGCCAGGGTGGCATCTGCCCCTCCTCGGGGGTCCCGGCCAACAGCACCAACCTGACCAGCCTGTGCAGGGCAGGACCCTCCCCAGAAGCCAGCAGCAGCTTGCTCGCATGGGGTGCCTCCCTGTGGTTGTGGCAGTCCCTGCTGTCCCGTGCAGCACCTCCGTGTGGCTGCAGTGGCCCCTGCAGGGTCTCGCACGGGGTGCCTCTCTGTGGTTGTGGCAGTCCCTGCCCTTCCCCGCAGCACCTCCGTGTGGCCGCAGTGGCCCCTGCCGTACCCCGCAGCACCTGGCACCAACAGGTTTCCAGGAAGCTCGGGCCCGTCTGGCCCTTCCACCGCAGGCAGTACCATCCTCCCTTTCTAGGTTGCAGGCTGTACCTCATCCATCCAGCCAGGCGTGTGCCTCACAAGTGGCCGGGGCAGTGCCCAGGGCAGCCTGGCCACCGCTGGCTCACGGCGGGGTCTGGACGATGTCGCGGGGGGGAAGGGGCAGGGGAGCCCTGTGCAGCAAGGCTGGCCAATGCGAGGGGCCTGAGCCAGGGGTCCTGCTCAAGCCCCCCGATTCCACTGCAGGCCCCCAGGCTGGGTGTGCATCCGGCTAGGGGCGCTGAGCCTGCCGCTTCCTCCCTTGGGTCCTGTGTGAATTAAAGCCCCCAGGGGTGCAAAGGGGCTTGGGGTCAGCTCACAGTGACCTGTTGCTGCAGCGTGGGGCAGCTGTGCTCAGCCTGTCCCCCCACACAGCCACTAGCGGTGGTCCAGGCTGGGGCTCTTAGTGGGGTGGGGGGCATGGGCTGGTGGACGCAGAGGGTCATCATACAGAACGGACCCTGGGCGGACCTGGCAGCACACCTGATATGATCCTGCCTGATTCCAGGGCCCGCCTGGCCCCCAGGGCCCCATCGGCTACCCAGGCCCTCGTGGAGTAAAGGTGAGTGGGTTCGGAGACCGCCTGGGCTGGGGGGCTGGGGGGCTGGGCTCGTGGGGAGGGCCAGGGTGACCCTGATGGGCAGGTGGCCCCGGGGGTGGGAGAGCCTCCGGCCTGCTCTGCTACTGCTCTCTCAAGGCCCTCCCGACCAAGCCTCAGCCAGGTGAGGTGAAGCCACTCCGTTCCTCCCGGGGGTCGGGGGACGGCACGTTTCTCCTGGCTGCTCGCACATCTCCAAGGAGCAGGCGCCTGTCCCTGCTGCGGGCGGACCAGGCTCTCAGAGCCCAGAGGGCTGCCACCTGAGCCCCTGATGGTGCGGAGCGCCTGCAAGATCAGGCTCTCGGACACCAGGGTGTGGCCGCCCGAGTCCCTGATGGCACAGAGCGCCTGGCCCCCGATGGCACGGAGCACCCCCAGGCTTTCCCTGCACACGCAGGCTCCTGGGGGTCTCCTCCCCGAGAGGCAGGGTGTCACACCGGGGCCCCTTGCATCCGCCTCACCCAGCTGGCACCACACCAGGGCATGTGGTAGGCAGGGTGTCACACCGGGGCCCCTTGCATCCGCCTCACCCAGCTGGCACCACACCAGGGCATGTGGTAGGCAGGGTGTCACACTGGGGCCCCTTGCATCCGCCTCACTCAGCTGGCACCACACCAGGGCATGTGCCATCCCGGGGTGCTGGTGTATGAACAGAGTCCAGGGCTCTACCCCCAGATTGCACAAAAACCCGTACCTGAGGTGTACCCACCAGGTACCCCACCCATGTTCCCTGCGTGGCCACAGCTTCCACTTCCAGAATATTCCAAATTCAAGAATCACTTAAGATCTTCCCCCCACCTACTGTCCCCCTCACCACCACCCACTGTCCCCTACCCGCCTGTGGCTGGGCCTGGGGCCTGGCTGTTCCCCACCACCACCCACTGTCCCCTACCCGCCTGTGGCTGGGCCCAGGGCCTGGCTGTTCCCCACCACCACAGTGGCGTGGGTCCTTGGCAGGGACAGTGGTGGCGTGGGCTCTCAGCCTGGTTTTGTGGCAGTTTCCTGCCGGGTACCAATGCCCACCCAGTGCCCACCCAGTGGCTGCTTGCAGAAGGCACTTCCTGCGGCCATTGCTTGAATGGGTTTACTGTCGAGCACCAGGCCGCAGCTCCAGCATGCACGCTGGACCTGAAGACCAGGGCCGCTCTCCCCGGGGAGGTGGACTCTCCATGCATCAGACCTGGGCAGACCTCGCAGCCCACAGCACCATGGGGCGGGCGGGAGTGTCGGCCGAGCAGAGTCTTCAGCCCCTGCTGTATGGGCGCCAAGCCCATCCTGCAGGGTTCCTTGCTTGGGGCCTGACCCCACCCCGCCATCGCCCCCTGCCAGGCGTCCGTAGACACCTCTGGCTGGCAGCTCTTCCCCAGGGCCAGACCCAGCATGTCTTGAGTAGCTGATGTTTGAGACGGACAGAAGCTGCCCCCTGCCCAGCGAGGGCTGGCAAGCCTGCCGTGGCTGTGACATGACTGTGACGGTGGCCGTGGCTGCGACCGTGGCTGTGACCGTGGCTGTGACCGTGGCCGTGGCTGCGACTGTGGCTGCGACCGTGGCTGTGACCGTGGCCCTCAGGCCTGCTCTGCTCCTGCCTAGCCTCGTAGTTCCCTTATCTTCACTCTGCACTGTGACGGGCTGTGTCAAGTTCTGGCCACAAGAGGGAGCTGGCAGGAGGCAGCCCCTTGGTTTCCGGCTATCCCCCACCACAGCCACCTCCCCTCCCAGCAGGTGGCCGGGCAGGCCATGGCCAGCAGCCACTGTCTGTGGCTACAGTCACAGTCGAGCTCTGAGGTTGGGGAGGTGACCCTGAGACGTGCCGTGCCGCCCTGTCCCCCGATGTCACGTCCCTGGGTCAAGGCCAGGACGCAAAGAGGAGGTTGTGGCCCAGTGACGGTCACTGGGCTTAAGCAGTGGTACCCGTGGGACGGGCCTTCGCCGTGGTGAGGACACCAGGTCCCGCTGACACGCACCCCGGGAGGGAGCGGGGGTGTCTCAGGTCCACGGACGCCCTGGGTGGAGCTGCAGCCGCGGCTGTCACGGTGACTGGGGTGTGTGTCTGTCTTCGCTCTGTTGTGGGATGCCAGAGCAGTGTGGGCGGTGCATGGTGTGCATGCCCCTGCCAGTGTGGGAACAGGGCCGGGGGCACCACCATGCTGCCCACAGGAGGGGCCCGGACGCCGAGGACAGCGAGCCCAGAACGGGCTGGGAGCGGAACCTTCATCTGGGCCCAGAGAGTGTGTCCTGCCTCCTTCCCAAACCTCTGAGAGAGCCGGACACTGGCCTGGGTGGCACAGGGTGCAGGCGTGGGCTGGGGAAAGGGCGGGTCCCAGGCTCGCTCTGCCATGTCGAGGAGAGATGTCAGTGGGAGGCTGTGGGCCTCGGGCGGCCACAGGCAGAGCTGACCCTTGGGCCAGGGACACTGCCACGTCCCTTCCGGGGGACTGAAGAGCTGACTCCAGAATGCTGGAGCAAGACACGGGCAGGAGGGGGCACTCAGCCTGGGGACCCTGGTGACCACCCATCTTCCTCTCCACATGCAGGGGGCAGACGGCATCCGAGGCCTGAAGGGCAGCAAGGGCGAGAAGGTGAGTGTGTCCCTGCAGCTGCAGGCACCCCGGGCACTGGGTGCCCAGGCGGAGGCTGCCTGCGCATGTCCGGCACCAGAGTTGCTTCTCTTGGTGTGGGGGCAGGGCGGCCAGTTCCTCTGGCCAGAGAAGGCCCTGGCCCCCGTGTAACAATGGCTGGCTCACCAGGCAGCTGGCCGAGGGTCTGTTTCACACCGCAGAGCTGGGCCAGGGTCCCGGGAGGGTGGCCTGGGGCTGGGCTGTGGCTCAGACCGGCACTGCATGCCGCATCACGGCCTGTAGGGGTCACTGCGGTTAAAGAAGAGCTCAGCTGGCGAGATGGCCGCCACCCAGCAGGGGCAGCAATGACCGCGGCCTGCTGCGCGCCCTGCCCCCTGACCTCATCTCCACTCCCAGCAGCTGCCCACTGAAACATGAGGGGTCTGAGCGGCTGGGCCCCTCCCACGCTGCACATGTGTTAAGCTCAGGCCCCTGTCAGGACCTGTGGGCCTGCGGAGTGGCGCTTCTGTCCCCAGGGACCCCGAGGAGCTGCGTCCCCCCCAGTGCCCGCCCCAGCCCTAGGTGGGGCTGCTGGCCCTCAGTGACTGCACTGGGCTCATGGGGACCCTGCCCGGGAAGGAGGGACCTGGCTAGGGTCTGCTGTGGAAGCAGATGCCAGGCAGCAGGCTCTCATCCGACTGAACCCCCTGCGGATCCTGTCCAGGGAGAAGATGGCTTCCCGGGATTCAAAGGCGACATGGGCATCAAGGGTGACCGGGTGAGTAGCTCGGGTCAGGTGTGGGCCCTGCAGGAGAGGACGGAGCCCCATGCCTGCACGCCACTGCTAGAGACACCGTTCTAGAACATTCTTCAGAGAAGGGTCCCTGGGGGCTGCCCGGGGGCTGCAGGAGGCGTCCTGGCTCTGGGGAAGGGGCTGCTCCACAGCACTGCCAGCAGCTGTGGAGCTCAGGAGCCGCTGGTGTGCAAAGCCCTCTTGGCCACCCGGCAGCTGCTCTGGGAGACGGACCAGGGCAGGTAGGACCAGGCCTGGCGCTGCACGGCACTCCGCTAGTTCCTGGGCCCTGGGAGCCGATGAGGCAGGGTGAGAGGCCTGCGTGGCCTAGGGTCTCCTGCTGCCGGTAGCCGGTCCTTCTCTGTTCCTTCTGGGGGCCATCATGCTGCCCAGTAGCGTTTGTCTTGGCTGGGAGCTCTGCCCAGGCAGGCGTGGGAAGTGCGGTGTGATGGGGTGCAGCCAGGGCAAAGAACTGCTGTGTGCCCCCCATGACCTTATAGGGGAGGGGTGCTGAGTGAGGCCACAGGAGCAGGTGGCTGAGGTTGGTGGATGTGGCCCTCACCTCCTCTTCTCTAACTTGCAGGGAGAGATTGGCCCACCCGGTCCCAGAGGAGAAGATGGGCCCGAGGGCCCGAAGGGTCGTGGTGGCCCCAACGGCGACCCTGGTCCTCTGGGGCCCACCGGGGAGAAGGTCTGAAGGGGCTCCCCTCTCTGTCCACAGCTGGGCTGCTGGCTGCCCCTCCAGGGCAGTGCGCTGACCAGCTGTGGCTGGATCCCCAAGCTCCCTGCCCTCACCACCAGTGGCCACCACAGGCCTGCCCTTCTGGCAGCGCCACCCCCAGCCCCTGCCACGTCGGCCCCCTCGCCTGGGCCCTGGCAACAGTGGGCAGGGAGAGGGGCTGGGGACCCCCACCCATAACAGCATGAAGAGCACTCCATCCCCAGCCTGGTCTGACGGCATCCGGTCCACCCAGTGTAGGGCCGCGTGTGCCCCTGACATGGATGCTGAGGGCAGGCAGGGGCCGCCCTGTCCTGCCCGGGCCCCGAGGGGCTGTGGCCTTGTTGCCTTCACTCCCTACTCACTGCTTCCTTTTCACAGGGAAAGCTCGGCGTGCCAGGATTACCAGGCTACCCGGGCCGGCAGGGGCCGAAGGTAACTCGGGGTGGGAGTGAGCCAGACGGCCACGCTGGGCAGGGGCCTCCCTGGCGGGCCCCACATTTCCTTGTCCATCCTGCCTGGGCAGTGGCAGAGATGGGGTCAGCTGCCAAGGACCCGTGGGCCGGCCTGCCTCAGAGAGGCATGGTGACCTGGGTGGGGCCGCCCTCTGGGATCCCCTACTGGGGACAGGGTCCTGCAGCCGGCAGCGGGCCGTGCAGGTGGCTGCGATGCGGCCTTGTGCCCCGCCCGGGTCAGCAGCAGGGGCCCGATGCTCACACACTCCGTTCCAAGGGACCCATCCTGAAACACTGCAGAGGTCAAGCGGGGGCTTGGGGGAGGTGGATCAGGCTGGAAACTCAGTTCTGGAAGCTTCTTGGAGAGGGGCAGGCAGTGAAGCTGTCGGGCACAGTGACCCCGTTTCTCAGCCAATCCGTCGCCTGCACTCCACAGATTAGCAGATGGGCCCGAGTATGTGGGTGGCCTGAGCTCCGTCCCCTTGAGAAATGCAAGCCTTGGGGATTTGTAAATGCTTGGCGGGTCAGAATTTGGGGCGTCGGGGAGCCGTGTCGGAGACAGCACCAGTGCCCCGGGTCTCCGGGGAGCACATAGCAGGGATTGGAAACACGTGTCTGGCCATGGGCACCCGTAGACTCCTGAGAGCCGTGCCCTGGGCACCTGGCTGGCACGCACTGCTGGCGGCACGCTACAGTACGTTACTGAGGGATGTCCTGGGAAGGTAGCCAGCCAAGGCGACAGAGCTGGGCGTGTGCAGCCCGGGCACATCTTCTGTTCCCTCCCTGCCAGACGCCGGCCAGCGTTTTGTGGCTGTGGGGATGTGGGCGGACGGTGTGGGCACCGTGCAGGGCCGTGATGAAGATTTATATTGGGAATCTGAAGTGCTTGGGAGGCGTTGGGTAGAGTGCTAAGTGGGTGAAGAGGGGACAGTGAGAGCAGATGGAGGGGCGTGGGGGCTGGGGGGCGTGGGGGCTGAGGGGTGGGGGATGGGGGCTGAGGGGTGGGGGATGGGGGCGTGGAGGTTGGGGGGTGGGGGAATGGGGGTGTGGGGGCTGGGGGGCGTGGAGGCTGGGGGGTGGGGGATGGGGGCGTGGGGGCTGGGGGGTGGGGGGTGGGGGTGTGGGGGCTGGGGGGCGTGGAGGCTGGGGGGTGGGGGATGGGGGCGTGGGGGCTGGGGGGCGTGGGGGCTGAGGGGTGGGGGATGGGGGCGTGGAGGCTGGGGGGTGGGGGCTGGGGGGCGTGGAGGCTGGGGGGTGTGGGGGCTGGGGGGCGTGGAGGCTGGGGGGTGGGGGAATGGGGGTGTGGGGGCTGGGGGGCGTGGAGGCTGGGGGGTAGGGGATGGGGGTGTGGGGGCTGGGGGGCGTGGGGTCTGGGAGCATGGCGGTTGGGGGCGTGGGGTCTGGGGGCAGGTGTTAGTAGAGAGTGGGCAGTGGATCTGCCCGGAAGCTGTGACTGGCACGGACAGTGTGCCCCATGGCCCTTGCCCACTTCTCTTTTCCAGGGCTCCATCGGATTCCCCGGCTTCCCTGGTGCCAATGGCGAGAAGGGCGGCAGGGTGAGCATGGCTAGGCTCTGGTCGGGGCATTCTCGGTGGTGGCGTATGGCACTCATGGGCTGGCCCACACCCTGGCTGCACGTTCCCTGCTACCCCGAGACCTGGCTCACACGGCCCGGACCCCACAGCCCTGGCCCCACAGCCCTGGCCCACACGGCCCTGACCCCACAGTCCTGGCCCCACAGCCCTGGCCCACACGGCCCGGACCCCACAGTCCTGGCCCCACAGCCCTGGCCCACATGGCCCTCGCCCCACGGCCCTGGCCCACATGGCCCTGACCCAACAACCCTGGCCCCATGGCCCTGACCCCACAGTCCTGGCCCCACGGCCCTGACCCCACAGCCTGGCCCCCAAGGCCCTGGCAAGGACCATCATGGAACTGGGGGCTGAGCTGGCTCATCCACAGGTGCACAGGGCCTGAGGCTACCTGTGTCAGACCTGTCCCAGGCAGGGCGTCAGCCTGTGTGTGTCTGTGCCTGTGTGTGTGTGTGTGTGTGTGTGTGTGTGTGTGTGTGTGTGTGTGTGTGAGATCGGCAGATCTGTGTGGGACACGTGATGCTGACTTGGGGTGAGGTGAGTGGACCTGGTGGCCACGGCTCAGCCTCACAGGGCGGAGGACCGGGCAGATGGTCAGCCTGTGCCCAGCAGGTGCTGTCCTGAGCTCCCTGCACAAGGAGCCAGAGGATAGGGCCCTGTGGGCACTGTGAATGACATCAGGGCCCTGTGGGCGCTGGGCACCATGAATGACCTCAATGCCGGGGGCAGCGGGATACTCAGGGGAGCAGTGACATGGAGCTGACCGCACAGGAGGCCCCGTGGGGACACGGCCAGGCCAGGCATCTCCCACCGCAGAAGCCGGGCTGGGACCCTTCCCCGCCCGCTGATCGGCTGCGTTGTCCTCTGATGACATCACCACCTCAGAAAGAACAGTTGCGCTGGGTTCTGTTTGTGTCAGAAACGCAGAGACAGACGGATCCGGGGAGCAGGCTGCCACCCCACCGGCGTGCCTTAATACAAAGTTACGAGTGTGCTGGCGCAGAGGCTGTTAAAAATTTAATGACCAATATTCATCTCTGTGGCCAAACTAAATTATGTATGAACGGGGCGCACGGCTGCTCTCTGCCTGCGATAATGACTTCCCGCTGAGAGAGAGCGTGAGAGGAGGGAGGGGGATGCAGGCAGAGAGCCCCGTGAGCCAGTGCCTGGATTCGAGCCCCCGCGTGCAGGGCGCCAAGTGTGGGTGCCCCCGTGCCCCAAAATCTGTTCAATTTGAGATGAGGAGGGAAGCTGGCGTCCCTGCTTGCCCAGTCCCCTGCTCCCCTGTGTCCGGCTGGGCCTGTCAAGATGGGCTCACCAACCTCTTCTCTGATTTTAGGGGACACCTGGAAAGCCTGGACCACGGGGACAGCGAGGCCCGACGGTAACGGCCCCAGGGCGTGCGGACAGCAAGGACGTGGGCACGGGGAGGGCGGGTTCCGGGCGTCTCGAGGCCTTGACCCAGCTTGCTTCTCTCCGTCCAGGGTCCACGGGGTGAGAGAGGCCCACGGGGTATCACTGGGAAGCCCGGCCCCAAGGTATGCGCTCCACCCCCGAGGGTCCAGCGGGGGCCTCTGCCTCTGCTGCCCTCACTCCCCGTCGACTGCCAAGGCCCCTTGCTGAGGGCCTGGGTGCCCGGGCAGGTTGGGCAGTGAGGCCCCTTGCAAGGGCCGGGGTGCCCAGGAGGGCCAGGGTGCTTGGGCGGGTTGGGCAGCGAGGCCCCTTGCTGAGGGCCGGGGTGCCGGGAGGGCCGGGGCAGTGAGGCCCCTTGTTGAGGGCCAGGGTGCCTGGGAGGGTTAGGCAGTGAGGCCCCTTGTGAGGGCCTGGGTGCCCAGGAGGCCGGGGCAGCTCAGCAGGGCAGTGTGGTATGCCAGAGTGGTATGCCTGTGTTTCCTTTTGACAGCTTGAGTTTCTCCCCTTCTCTCCCCAGGGCACCTCTGGAGGCGACGGCCCAGCCGGCCCCCCAGGTGAACGGGTAAGCGTCCCTGGCCCAGGCCGTGGGGCACCTGTCCCCAGAACCCCTCTGTGTGACCCCCTGGGGTGGGCCCCACTGCAGGAGGCAGTTCTCCTGAGATCCTAACTTTAGGCGGCCTCCTTGGGGGGCATGTCCTGCCCCCTCTGCCAAGCCCCGGGCCTTGGGGGTCGTGATGGCACTGAGACTCGGAGAGCCGAGGCTGGATGCTGGAGCCCCACTGGCAGCTCCTGTTTGCCCCCGAGAGGCACGGGGTGGGCACAGTTGCGGGGAGCTTCAGGGCGCCCCCCCCCTCCAAAAAGGGGGCTTCTCCTCAGCCTGTGCCTTCTGTCCCCAGGGACCCAATGGACCCCAAGGACCCACAGGCTTTCCCGGGCCCAAGGGCCCCCCGGTAAGTGGTGTGCTCCTGTGTGTTGGGTGGCCAGAGATTCCAGGGTGGGCATTTCCTGGGCACCTGCATTGCCCTATGTCCTCAGAGACTCCATGCAAGTCCTTTGCAGCAGCAGGGTGGAGAAAGGCATCCGGGTGGGTCACGGAATGGGGGGTTGGCAACCCTGGGCAGTGAGGGGCCTGCCACCACAGCCACTGCCACACGAGTGACCCCACGGCCTTCCCAACCGGGCACTCTGAGCACCCCAGGGATACTGTGTGACAGTGTCATAATTCCTGTTGTTGAAACGCGACAGAAACGCATCCCCTGGGGCAGCACCTGCCCAGCCCCCGCCGGGACACTCGGTTCTGTGGTCACTGTGCCCCGGCTTGCTGGGACAATTGCGTTTCTTGGACGCTGTTTCCAAGAGAAGGGGTCCCTCAGGAAGTGGCTGCCTCGGGGTGGCATCTGGTCCCCAAACAGGGGCATCTCGGGACACACCCTGTATCTTTGGGTTCTTCCCTCAGGGTCCCCCAGGCAAAGACGGGCTCCCAGGACACCCAGGACAGAGAGGCGAGACGGTGAGTGTCGTGGCTGGGGGAGATGGGGCAGGCCTGATGTGGCCTCGCCCTGTGGGCTCCTGCTCCCAGTAGGGTGGGGAGGCAGGGTGGGCCCAGTGCAGAGTGGCCGTGCCCTGCGATGGCGCTGGCAGGAGGCAGGGGCTGGCCCCTGCTGACCCTAGCAGCTGTGGTCCGAGGCCACTCTGTGACAGTCACTAAGATGCAGGTGGAGTCAGGCATGCCCCAGCCTTCTGCTGTGAGGGCAGGGGCAGTGAGTGCCCACCGGGGGGTGCAGCCGGGAGGCGACCCCACCTTCAGCCGCTGTGTGCAGGCAGCGCAATTCCAGGAGCAGACAGCAGGTTCATGCCCACCCCTGCCATGTTCACCCAGTTCCTTCTGGCCTTGGGGCTGTGGGCAGGGCATGTGGAGGACACTGCCTGCTTCCTGCTGCCAGAAGGCTGGCCCCCAGCTGGGCACACAGCCCGGGTGGCACAGGACACTGAAGGTGACAGAGACCTTTGGTGAGGTTAGCTGGGAGAAATGGTATTTATGGAAGTGTGGCCCCATCAGCCACTGGGGATGTGGTCCTGTGCCCTGAGGGCGTGTCCCAAGGAAGGACACACCTGTGACCTCATGGCACACCTGTGACCTCATGACACACCTGTGACCCCTGGGACACACCTGTGACCTGGGTTGAGTGCCCCCAGTGCAGCACTGGGGTTGTGCTCTGTCACCTCGCGGTGTGTGCCTGCTTCCAGCAGGCATAAAGCATGCCGACAGCATGGCCCCCGTTTTCCGGGCAGCCGTGCGCTCTGCGGCTGGCACTCCCCCCTGTGGCAGGTGAAGCAGGCGTTTGTTACTGTGCTGAACTTGGTCTTTGGTTGGTTGGGTTTTGTTGTTGTTTACTTGAACACCTTTGTCCCCTGGGCCTGCTGTGAGGGGCCCTGTTGGCCGACCCCACCCTGGGGTTCCCCGTAGCCTGCACCGGCTCCTTGTCCGTGGAGATGTTCCTCTCTGCACGAGGGGACCAGGCACGAGGCCTCACCCATGCGTGCCCCCTCCCTTTGACCGGGGAGCATGCGTTGCCAGCCACTTGTTGGCGCACCCAGCAGTGGCCCGGCTTGTGCACTGGCAGCCAGCTGCGGCCCTCCCAGTGGCCCACTGCAAGAGGACACAGCTCCAAGACCCCCCAGGAAGGAGCAAGAGTCTCCTTGCCCCTGTGAGTGGATGTCCTGCGGTGTAGACTTGAGGGTAGAAAGCTCGGGCCAAGACCGACGCCATCGCCCCCACTGCCACCACTGCCGCCCTGCGCAGCCCTGAGCCACACACGGAGGCCGCTGCCACCACTGCCGCCCTGCGCAGCCCTGAGCCACACACGGAGGCCGCTGCCACCACTGCCGCCCTGCGCAGCCCTGAGCCACACACGGAGGCCGCTGCCACCACTGCCGCCCTGCGCAGCCCTGAGCCACACACGGAGGCCGCTGCCACCACTGCCGCCCTGCGCAGCCCTGAGCCACACACGGAGGCCGCTGCCACCACTGCCGCCCTGCGCAGCCCTGAGCCACACACGGAGGCCGCTGGGCCTTCAGTGTCGTGAACAAAGCCAGACAGTAGCTGTGGCCAGTCCTGCCCCCGATCCGTCTGATACTCCTTGTCTGTGCCTGGGACTGCAGCCCCTGTGGATGCCAGATTTGCCCGTCACCACAAATGGCTTCAAGGAGAGGGCTCTCGGGTGGGCAGAGGCTGGGTCTGCTGCCATCTGGCTGGGTTGGGCAGAGGAGCGCGGGGCGAGGACCGTGTGTAAGCTCGGTCTCGCCACGTGGCTAGCCTGAGGCGGTGCCATATCCACTGGGGACACGCACACTGGAGTCCACACAGCAGCCCCGTGGAGGAGGGCAGCTGGGGGCCTAGCAGCTCTGATTCCTCACCCCCGTGCAGCCCACAGGAACGGGAAGTGAGGTCTGGGGCAGTGGGGGCAGGGTGGGGCCGAGCAGGCCGTCTGCTGAGACACCCCCGTCCGGAGGCCAGGGCCGAGCAGGCCGTCTGCTGAGACACCCCCGTCCGGAGGCCAGGGCCGAGCAGGCCGTCTGCTGAGACACCCCCATCCGGAGGCCGGGGCCGAGCAGGCCGTCTGCTGAGACACCCCCGTCCGGAGGCCGGGGCCGAGCAGGCCGTCTGCTGAGACACCCCCGTCCGGAGGCCGGGCCTCTTGGGCAGCCGCCTCACCGGACTCCTCTCTTACAGGGTTTCCAAGGCAAGACTGGCCCTCCAGGTCCCCCAGGCGTGGTCGGCCCCCAGGTGAGTCGCCGCAAGCCCGGGTTCCAGCGGTCACCAGGTGTCACCGGGGTCATTGCTCCCCATAAGGCTGCGAGTGTCCGTGCTGCCGAGGAGAGTCCTGGTTTGCAGTACTGGCTCCCCCAGGCTTAGTCCTGCAGTGCTAGTTCTGAGTACCTTCCTTATCCTTATGGGGTAATTTAGAATGGAGGACTCTCTGACACGTGGTTTGGAGACTGAGAAGGCCGCTGTAAGGTGACAGGGCCTCGGTGGGCAGCAGGGGGTGCTATAAGGTGGCACGGCCTCCTCCCCTGTCAGGAGCAGGTGCCTCGGTGGGCAGGGGAGGTACCCACTCTTGCGAGTCACCTGAGACCAGCGGGGACTGACGCTGCTTTTCCCTGCAGGGTCCCACAGGAGAGACGGGGCCCATGGGCGAGCGTGGCCACCCCGGGCCCCCCGGGCCCCCCGGGGAGCAGGGCCTCCCAGGCCTCGCGGGCAAAGAGGGGAGCAAGGTAAGGTCCCGGTGTGTCCCGTCGGGGCACAGCGCCTCCCGCCCTGCTCTCTGTGCCCCTGCCGCCAGCTGGGCGGCCGCCGTTTCAGGGGGTGAACCAGCAGAAAGATCTTTGTGTGACTGTGCCTTTCAAGTTAATAAACAAACCATAAAAAAAAATAGGAAAGCAGTAAGAAAAGGGCAAAGTGTGTGCGGTCAGCGTACATGCGTATCAGAGAATTTGAAAGGAATGAAAGCATGAACTGATTTGTGGTGCAAAAAGTAGTTTGAGACCCCCATGCAGCCTGCCACTGCCTGCCCTGTGCGGCCTGTCGCTGCCCCGTGCGGCCTGCCACTGCCTGCCCCGTGCGGCCTGTCGCTGCCCCCGTGCGGCCTGTCGCTGCCTGCCCCTAGCGGCCTGTCGCTGCCCCCGTGCAGCCTATCACTGCCTGCCCCGTGCTGGCGAGGCCCTTCTCCACGGGCGCGCTGCTGCCGTGCGTCGGAGGGAACTCATGCTTCCGACCCATTTCCCACTGACCTTCGTGAGCGTGAAGGTTTCCACTCACAAGGGCGGTCTCCACGTGGGCCATCATCGGGCCTGCTGCTGTGGGAGGGGCTGTGTGCTGCCCGTCGGGTCCTGAGCAAGGTCTGGGGAAAGCTCAGGGTTTGAAGCTGGCGCGGAATCCGTTGAGGAAACCCCCCGAGCTCCCCGGTCACCTGTCTCAAGGCGGAGCCGCAGGAGCCCCAGCAAGTGCGAGGGGCTGTGGGGTCAGCTCCCTGCAGCCCACCCTCGCTCTGGGGGCCCTGGTCCTCCACAGAGCGAGGTCAGAGGTCGCAGCTGCTCCCGGGGTGAGCCTGGCAAATGCCCAGGCCGGTGAGGGCCACTGGGGCTCAGCCATCATTGTTCCCTGCAGGGAGACCCAGGCCCTGCCGGCCTCCCTGGGAAGGACGGCCCCCCAGGACTCCGTGGCTTCCCTGGGGACCGTGGGCTTCCCGGCCCGGTGGTGAGTGGCTGACCTTGGGGGTGAGGGGTGGGGTAGGGAGCGAGGGTCATACCGGGTGCCCCCAAGCCACATCTGGCTGCTTTGCAGGGAGCTGTTGGACTGAAAGGCAGCGAAGGCCCCCCTGGCCCCCCAGGCCCAGCGGTGAGTGGAAGCCTTCGCCCCTTGCTTGCCCCAGGCCCACTCCGCGCGCACGACCAGCCGGGGCCTCAGCGGATGCTGATGGAGGAGGGGGCCATGGCTGTGAGGGGACAGGCTCCCTGAGCCAGTGGGGAGAACAGAGGGGCTGGGGGCTGAGGGAGGGGCTCCTGCTTCCTGCCAGGGGCTCTCAGGAGAAGGCCCAGGGGTCAGTGTGTGGCTCCGGCCAGGGCCAGCGTGGCAGGGTGGACATGGCTCCTGGCCCTGTAAGTGCATCCCAAAGCCAGCTGTCCGGTCAGATGTCCCTGTCCCTTCTGGCCCTAAGGGCCCTGTGGCTGCAGGTTGAGGGTGTTGTGTCCAGGCCAGGGGCTGCGGTCTGCCCTGGGCACATGGCCACCAAGTCCCTGCTCCTGGCTGACACTATACAAAAGGGGTCCCTTGCTCACTCCTGTCCTTCCCCGGGGTGGGGGCTGCAGGGCCAGGCGGCAGAGCCTGCAGTTTGGGGTGCCCAAGGATACTGGGGGCACTCGGGCATTCTGAACATTGCCCCTGAGAGCTGGGGAGGGTCAGCTAGGTCCCCCGCCCTCCCTGCAACCCACGGTTGGAGCATGGGTCGAGGACTCTGCCGGTTAACGCAGGGTCCTGCAGGAGCAGGTGACCCTGGGGACAGTGGTGCGGCCCCCCACTCCAGGAGGCATAGCGGGAGGGTGTGTGTTTGGACCAGATGAGATGGGATTGTACCCCAGGCCACGTGTCCTGTTCCTGGAATCACATTGCCCCCTGCCCCATTCCAGGGCTCTCCGGGCGAGCGGGGCCCCGCTGGTGCGGCTGGGCCCATCGGCATTCCAGGGAGGCCTGGGCCCCAGGGGCCTCCCGGGCCAGCTGGAGAGAAAGGGGCTCCTGTAAGTATCACCCGCCACGGGTCTGGGCTGGGTGTGGTCCGAGGGGGCACCATGGTGCCATGGCTGTGTCCGTGGGGCAAGTGGGGAGCTGGCCCAGTGCCCCAGCTGCTGGTCTTCGTGTACCCGTGGGTGCCCCCTGTGGGGTGCGCTGCACCTGTCCCAGCCCAGGCCTTGACCTGTCCATGGAAGGGTGCTCTGAATTGGGTTGTCCCCCTTGCTGGTCTGGGGGGCAGCGCTTGACAGGGACTCCCGTGTCCTCCCCAGGGTGAGAAAGGCCCACAAGGGCCTGCTGGCCGAGATGGCCTCCAGGGCCCCGTGGGGCTCCCTGGCCCTGCCGGACCTGTGGGCCCCCCTGGAGAAGATGGTGATAAGGTAAGGGGCCTGGACTAGGGGTAGCCGGGCCAGTGGGGAGGCTGGAGGGCTGTGCCGGGCCGGTGGGGAGGCCGGAGGGCTGTGCCCGGGCCAGTGGGGAGGCCGGAGGGCTGTGCCCGGGCCGGTGGGGGGGCCGGAGGGCTGTGCCCGGGCCAGTGGGGGGGCCGGAGGGCTGTGCCCGGGCCGGTGGGGGGGCCGGAGGGCTGTGCCCGGGCCGGGAGCTCAGCCCTGACAGCCAGGCGAGTAGCAGCAGCTGCTGGGGCCTCACAAAGCTGCTTGCTCCATGTGGATCCTAGTGGATCCTCCCTGGCGGATCCTCCTTAGCAGATCCTCCCTGGCAGATCCTCTCTGGTGGATCCTCCCTGGCGGACCCTCCCTGGCAGATCCTCCCTGGTGGATCCTCCTTAGCAGATCCTCCCTGGCGGACCCTCCCTGGCGGACCCTCCCTGGCGGACCCTCCCTGGCAGATCCCATATGGACCTCACTGCTGTTGCCACTTGGGGCATCCATGTCATTCTGGGAGCAGAATGATTGTCCCGGTGTCACCCCACACACTCCTCACTCCCCAGGCTGGCCAGGGGACCCTCCTCGTGGGCGGAGCTCCCCAGGGCCAGGCCTGTGCTCTGTCTGACCGTTCTCCTGTCTCTCCAGGGGGAGATTGGGGAGCCTGGACAGAAAGGAAGCAAGGGGGACAAAGGCGAACAGGTGAGCGGCCACTCAGGTAGACAGGGGGCGGGGCTTTTGGGAGGCGGGGCCTCGGGGTGGGGCCTTGGGTGGGGTCTCGGGGAGGCGGGGCCTGGGGAAGGTCGGGTGGTTGTGGAGTATGTGTGTGTATGGAGTGTGTGTGTGTATGGTGTGTGTGTGTGTGTGTGTGTGTGGAGGGTGTGTGTGTGTGTGTGTGTGTGTGTGTGTTTCTGTGGATGTATGTTTCTCCGTGTGGTGTGTATATGTGTGGAGGATGTGGGGTGTGTTTGTGTGGGTGTGTATGTGTGTGCACACGCGTGTGCACCAAGACATGTTAGGAAGCCCCTGGATGGGGAAGGCAAGGCTTGCTGCCAGCCACGCGCTGGACTCACGCGGTTTCCGGGGATCAGCGATTTTGAGCCGCACGGAGCATCAGTGCGGGGACCCCCCTTCGGCCCTCAGCCTGAGGCCCGGCAAGCGGCGAGGTCATGCTGCCCTTGAGCCTTCGGTTCTGCAGACTCAGCTGCCCGCTGGAGCTGACAGAGGCAGAATGTCCCAGGCCAGGCCACACCGCCTCAGCTCCCCCACCCCACCTTGCTGGCATTCCGCTCAGGCTCCCGGGGACCGCGAACCCTGCCTGGCCCCTGTAACTCCCGAGCAGTCGCAGCCCCGACTCTGTGCTGGCCTCCGGCTCTGGGGACGGGACACCTGTGCCCCTCTGGCTGTGCCCTGCCCCACATGCCTGTGTGCCTGGGAGCAGCCTGGGAGTGGGGTCCCGGCAGAACCCCGATGCCAGCACAGTGCTGCCCCTCACGGCACGTCAGGACCTCGTGGGCCCATTGGTGTTGTGTGGTGGGAGCCGAGGTGACACGCAGTGGCCTCTGGTGTAATAGTGAGGTTGCTGTCCCTCGGCTGGGCCCACTGCTCACCAGCCGAGGTGAGCCAGCAGCCAGCAGCCGTCCTGGGCCACAGTGTGGCTGGCACTGTTGCCCATGGCTTCCCGCCGAGTGCCACGCCAGAGCACAGGAGCCTGACCCTGGTGGGCACCCTGGGTGGGCTCCATCCGTCCAGGCGCACCTGAGCCTTAGAAGCCGACCCTCATCTCCACCGTGCTCCCCACAGGGACCTCCTGGACCAACAGGGCCTCAGGGCCCCATCGGACAGCCGGGCCCGTCGGTGAGTACATGTGACCAGAGAGCCCGGGAGCGGCACTACCTCGGGGTTCCCGGAACCGGCCTTCGCCACGGCGCTGCTCTGTCCCCACAGGGAGCTGATGGTGAGCCAGGGCCACGCGGCCAGCAGGGCCTCTTCGGGCAGAAAGGAGACGAGGGACCTCGAGGCTTCCCTGGGCCCCCCGGGCCCGTGGGGCTGCAGGTAACCCAGGTTCTGGGGAGAGAACGGGCGAGGCGGAGGGGACATGGAGCAGGTGGCTGGTGTGGCCGTGCCGCACGCCCCGCACTGCTGCCCAGCTCAGTGGGGATGGCCGCACATGGCAGGAGGTGTCAGCGGGCGTTTGCGGGCCATCTGGCGCCCACCACGCGGGGTGCCATGCTCTCTCTTTAGGGTCTGCCGGGACCTCCAGGCGAGAAGGGAGAAACGGGCGACGTGGGCCAAATGGTGAGTGTAGCCGTCAGGGCGGCCGGCCTGCGGGCGAGGGCTGTGCTGTGTCCTTCCTGGACTCAGTGGCCTTCCCTTCTCGCCTAGGGCCCTCCTGGTCCCCCTGGCCCCCGTGGACCCTCCGGAGCGCCAGGTGCTGACGGGCCACAAGGACCACCCGGCGGGATAGGGAACCCTGGCGCCGTGGGAGAGAAGGTGACGTAACCGCATGGGATCAGCATTGGAGGGGAAGGGGCGGCGTGCGTGTGCGTGTGTGTGTGCGTGTGCTGGGTCTCCGTGCGTGTGCACGTATGTGCGTGCTGAGCTGGGTTGCTCCTGGCCGATGAGTGTTCAGAATTGGAAGCTCTGTGACCTGTAACCAGGGACTGTGTGTGTGTTGTACTGTGCACACCTGGGTGTGTGCATGCTTCTGTCTGCGTGGTGGGAGTGATGGCGCCAAGGCCCGGCTGTGCGTGCTTCTGAAGGCACATGCGTCGGCTCCCGCCATGCAGCCGCGCCCTCCGCCCCTACCTGCGTCTCCAGGCTCTCATTCCGACGTGGGCCCGCGGCTGAGCCAAGCCCCCCCGACTGCTGCATGGGCCCTCAGCAGCACAGGGCAGGGCTCCAGGGCGAGCCACGGGCAGGGGCGCACGCCCAGCTGCAGGAGGCAGCCTCCCTGTGCCCCGCTGTGGGGCACCCGGCCCTGCTCCCCGCCTGCCCGCCTGCCCCCCTGCGGCCTTGTCCCTCCCTCCCCAGCCCCCGCCCAGCTGGCTGCTTGGTTGCACACTGAGGTCCCGTCTCAGGAACGCCCCCAACGGCGCCCTTGGCCACCCATGCCCCCTCCTGTGCTGACGTCTGAGGCTGCTCCCCTCCCCCACCATGAACACCTCATCCCTGCACAGCCGCTCTCCAGCCCTGGGCGCCCAGATGCGACCGCTGTCCCCTGCAGCCCCCGCCCACCGCCGTCCCCTGCAGCCCCCACCCACCGCCGTCCCCTGCAGCCCCCGCCCACCACCGACCCCTGCAACACTGACCACCCACCTTGCCTCCTCAGGGGGAGCCTGGCGAAGCTGGCGAGCCCGGCCTCCCGGGAGAAGGGGGCCCCCCGGTGAGTGAGTTGGCATGGGGGCGGGGAGGGACGTGACGGGGCGCAGGCCCAGAGCCCCGACTCTGCCTTGGCATTCCCATTCGTGAAATGGGCGCCCTGAGCCCTTTCAGCCAAGCTCGCAGAATATGTGAAAGAGGAAAACAGGACAGTGTGTGAGCTCATATGCGTGTGAGCAAGCCCTTGGCCTTGACCCCCGCAGCGAGGGCCGCTGCCGCGCTCCTGTGTGGCGTCCAGGCCTCCCCTGCTGCCCAGAAGCCGCAGGGCGAGGTTTTGAAGGCCCCTGGCAGGCGGACGAGGTTGACTGCATGCCAGCCTCGGGCCCAGCAGCGCCTGGCGGGGGGCTGGGGCTGGAGGCGAGGTCTCCAAGGCTTCTGGCCACGCTCTTGCCTGAGGACTGGGGAGGGAGGCTGGGGTGCCCCTCACTGCACCCCCTCTGATCCTGGAGTGGCTGTTCCTGTGCTGAGCTCAGCCTTAGCCATGCACAGCCCTGCAAACCCCCCGCCATTCGGAGCTGGCACTGGCACGTGCAGGCCTGACCCCAGCCCAGTGCCCACTCCCTGGGTGGGCAGGGGACTGGGAAGTGCCCCGCTGGCCTGGGGACCCCTGTCGACTCCAAGACCTGGACGCTGGCCTCTTCCTTCCAGGGCCCCAAGGGCGAGCGAGGGGAGAAGGGCGAGGCTGGCCCATCGGGTGCTGCTGGACCCCCTGGCCCCAAAGGCCCACCCGGGGATGACGGCCCCAAAGGCAGCCCGGTGAGTGGCTCTGGGCCACATCGTCCTGCCTGCTGCCCTTCCGGGGCTCAGCTGCTTCAGTGGAGTCACGAGGAAGGAGACGGCTTGGGTGGGGGGGTTGGTGTTCCCAGGCCAGGTGAGGCACACGCCTGCTCGTGCGTCTGAGCCTGCCAGGGTCGCACTTCTGCCAACCCTGAGTGTCGGGGGCCCTGCAGAAGTGCGTGCTGGAAGCCAGCAGTGCTGGGGGCTCAGTGGTTCTCTCAGCCCGGAGGTCCCGGGAGCAGGCAGGACCCTGACCCCTGCGTAACCGCCCGGCTGTGTGAGGATTCCTGGATGTTGAAATGTTCCAGAAATGGGGCTGGGCGGTGCCTGCTCCCGTGCTGCTGGTGACCCAGGCTGCCTCTCTCTCTTCCCCACCCACCAGGGCCCCGTCGGATTTCCTGGGGATCCCGGCCCCCCCGGAGAACCTGGCCCCGCGGTAGGTGCCCCGAGGCCACTGCCCAGTCGCTCTGCTTGGGGGACAGCATCCCTGACCCAAGGACCTGCTTTGAGGGAGGAGCCCCGTGTGCCAGCCGCAGGCCTGGGCTGCATGGGTGCTGGGGTGTGGGTGGCACCTGCCCGGGGGTGCCGACCAGGAAGCAGGACGGTGCGTGGTTTTGTCCCCCCAGGGTCAGGACGGCCCCCCTGGTGACAAAGGAGACGATGGTGAACCTGGACAGACGGTGAGCAACCACGGGACAGGACTGCGTCAAGGGTGCCGTGTGTGCCGGGCAGGGCCCTCACGGCGCTGGCTGCTGGCTGGGCCGGGGCCTGGGCCTCCCTCTGATAGCTGTGGAGCCTCATCCCACGAGGGTCTCCGCAGCTCCACACCCCCAAGGCCGCCAGACCCCGTCTGCCGTGAGCAGCATGCATTCACAGGCAGGCCACGTGGGAGTCCACCTGGCCTCTTGCTGCTTCTCCACATGACAGTGGCATGGCAGCCAGCACGAGGGACGGGGCGGGGGGAGCCCAAACCCAGCCCTGGGTCAGACCCCCCACCATGATCGCCCCCTCGGAGCCGGGGCTCATGTGAAGTGCGAGTGGGCGCTCGGCCCCCAGCCCCAAACCCAGGAGCCAGGCTGTGTCACCCGTTCAAGGAGACTCAAGTGCCAAGCAGGGCTCAGGGCTGCGAGCCCCGGGGCCAGATCCCCACAGCTGTCCCTGGCTCCGTCACTCCAGCCTGGGCACCGTGTTGTCCCCACTTCCGTGAAAGGGGCCGAGATCCCTTCCTGACAGTCAGGACTAGGAGGCCAGCCTGGAGGAGGGGGTCGGAGCTGTGGCGTGAGGATACCTGTGCCAGCCCAGGCCCAGCCGGCTCCCCCTTCCTGCCCCATCCAGTAACCGCAGGGCCCCTAATGTGCTTTGTCTGACCACAGGGATCCCCTGGCCCTACTGGTGAGCCTGGACCGTCGGGGCCTCCCGGAAAAAGGGTACGTCACCCACCCATGCCTGCTGGGCCCGGGTGCTCCGTGCAGGCTGACAGGGAGGGGCTGGCATCGCGGTGGGCTTAGCCCCTGGCCAGTGGTCAGCTCCCACACTGTGTGATGGCTCCAGCAGGGGCGGAGAAAGACCACCAAACTGGGACCCACCGCTGCCTTAGGCCAGCTTCCCTGGAGTCACAAGATGGAAGGGCATCCGTGTGTCTTGGGGCATCTGGCACCTGCTCGTTGCCAACGGGCACAACGGACAAGTGTGCTTGACAGCCTGGCAGTGTGATTGACAAGCCGGGCACATGATTTTAGCTGTGCACTGTCGCACAGGGAGCAAGAGGCCCTGCCTGGGGCCGGCGCGCCCAGGGCTGGTGTCCGTGCTGGCCGGCCCGGAGTGGCCCATGCCCTCTGCCCGCCCCCCGCATGAGGCCTGTGTTGTACCCTGAGCTCGCGGCTCTGGCCCCGGCGAGCCAAGCTTGCCACGTGTCCTCTCTCTTGTTCCAGGGTCCCCCCGGCCCCGCAGGCCCTGAAGGCAGACAGGGAGAGAAGGGTGCTAAGGTAAGAGGCTTTGCAGTTGGGCTCAGACCAGGGGGAGGGGCCCCATGCCAGTCCCAGAGGGGCGCTGGGCACAGCTCTGGTCCACCCCGGGATAGGCAGCGAGCCATGGCCGAGGGCACATGAACGGGAAGAGGTGTGTGGGCGCAGGAGCCGGGGAGCCAGCAGGGACCATGTGGGGCAGGGAAGACACCATCTTGTCACCAGGGGGGCACCGTTATCCTACCCTGGAGACCTTTATGCCACCCGCAGCCATGAGCACGTGGCATGGCGGAGGCTGCTGTGGCCTTCGGGGGCTGGGAGCCTCCATGCAACACACAGGATGAGGGCAGCCCCGTGCGGGGGCAGGTCTCAGGGTCTCCCCGGCTTCCGAGCCACCCACCCAGCCCTCGCCACCCCGCAGGGAGAAGCCGGCTTGGAAGGCCCTCCTGGGAAGACTGGCCCCATCGGCCCCCAGGGCGCCCCTGGGAAGCCGGGGCCCGACGGCCTGCGCGGGATCCCGGGCCCTGTGGTGAGTTGCGGGCCTGCGGAACAGGGTGGTGGTCTCATGGGACGTGGAACTCAGGGTCTCTTTCTTACAGGGTGAACAAGGTCTCCCGGGGTCACCAGGCCCTGACGGTCCCCCGGGCCCCATGGTGAGTGACAGTCCCCTGGGGATGGGGGCAGGTTTGTCCCCCGGGACTCCTCCCTGAGCCTTCTGCTTTCCCCCACAGGGCCCCCCCGGCCTCCCCGGCCTCAAAGGCGATTCTGGCCCCAAAGGTGAAAAGGTGAGACCACCGGTATCACAGACTGGCCAGGCCGTGGGTCTGTGGCTCTGGCTGGCAACATAGCTGCCCAGGGTGGGGGGACACAGGAAGCCACACCCCTGTCTCTGAGAGTCAGGAGACCCCAAGGTCCTGGCAGGATGGGCAGAGAGTCCTGGCCGACAGGCCCTGCCGCAGCACGCAGACCCCGGCGGCCCCAGCCGACGCCCTTCGCTCGCTCCGGCCGTGGCTTTCCCTCTGCCAGCAGCACGCCACGTGCTCCGGAGCCCAGCGTGCTTTCAAGGCAGTGGGTCCCCGCTTCTCTCACACTCTGGGGTGATGTTCTCCGCCCCGTGAGCGCAGACACCCCGAGGAGGGAGAGGAGGGTGAGGCGGGAGAGGAGGGTGAGGCGGGCTTTCCTTTGAGGAAAGAAGGTAGGGCTTGGACTTGCCCTCCGGAAAACCCGGAGATGAGCTGGAGCGAAGAGACAGACGTGTGCCCTGTCCTTGGCCAGCGCCTGTGCAGTCCCCACCCGCACCTGCTGCTCCCAGGGCTGGGGCGGCACGGACTGCCCCACCTGCCCTGGTTCCGGGGAGGTTTGGGGTGACTCAGCATCTTGCCGTCTGGCTGCCCCCCTTGCCTGCCTGCCTCACGACCCCTTCTCCCTGCAGGGTCATCCCGGCCTGATCGGGCTCATCGGACCTCCGGGGGAGCAGGGAGAGAAGGGTGACCGTGGTCTGCCCGGCCCCCAGGGCTCATCGGGTCCGAAAGGAGAGCAGGTGTGTGAGCAGGGTGCGGCTCAGGAGGGCGTCCTGGCACCCGAGAGCCCAGTGGGGCCCGCTCTGCAAGTGGGAGCTGTCAGCAGTGGTGGCGGGGAGCTAGGGCGGGACCCTGTGGCCCTCTGCAGCCCTGAGGGGGCACAGAGGTAGGCAGGGAGTTGGGGCAAGTCAGGCTGGGCATGCCCTGTCCTTAACCATCCTGTCTCATGGTGGCCCTGGTGTGGCCCAGGTGTGGCACAAGGCACCGTGTGCCTGCTGAGCCATGCCCCTTGCCACCATGCCTGGCCTGAGGCGAGCCAGGCAGAGTGGGGCTGGGCCAGAAAGCCTGTGGGGTCCCAGGCTGTGGGGGGTGGGCACCGGGGTGGGCTTAGCAGCATGCTGGAGGGGCCGACAGCAGGTCCCCAGCCCTGGAGGCCACGCCAGACAGGACAGGTGTGGGCAGGCCCACACGGCTCCCGTCCTCCGCATCAGGACACAGGTGCCACGAGCTGAGAACGAGAGGGACCCAGCCAGGGCAGGGCCGTTGGAGTGGTCAGCTGTGCTGTAAAGACAGCATTTGACCAGGGCTGGGCATGGCCCACAGTGGCCAGCCCATGGTCTGGGCAGCCAAGTGCAGGGGAGGGGCCGCCGGTCTGGCTGGAAGGAGCGTGCTGCAGCCAGGTCAAGCTCACCTGCTCCCTCTGTCCCTTCGCAGGGCATCACTGGTCCCTCAGGCCCCATCGGGCCGCCCGGCCCCCCTGGCCTGCCGGTATGTATCGGGGGGTGTTTCAGGGTCCCCCAGTCCTCCCTGGGAGAGCAGGGAGTCTGGAGGACACTGGAAGATGAAACCTCGAAGGCTGGTGGGGGGCAGGCAGAGAGCCCCGGTCTCTGGCACCCGAGCATTTGAGACTTTGGTCTGTAGACGGTCCCAGCTCTCTTGTCCCTGGGAGCAGGGCCCATCGGCCAGTAGGAGGAGCCGGGCCCTGGTCTCTGGGCTGCCAACCAGGGCACTTGCCAGCTACAGCCACGTCCCCAGGGCCCTGAGCCGTTACCTGTCCCAGCCCAGGGTCCGCCCCAAGGTGGCCCAAGGCTGCCTGCCTGCTGACGCCTGCCGTGGGCCACGGCTGGCGGGGCTGTCTCGTGGGCCCTGCTATCTCCCATGCACTGACTACTCACCTCGGGGAGCTGGGTCGTCCCTCCCGCCTGGGCAGGGTGTAGGCTCAGGGGGCAGGCCGAACTCCTCTGTCGGCTGTAGGTGGGCGGTGGTCCTGCCCAGCCCTCTTCCAATCCACCCCTACACATAGGCCAGGGCAGGTGTGGAGTCCTGGGAGGCAGGGCCTGGGCGGGGACCTGGGCGATGGCCCGGGCGGGTCCACCTGCTGACACTCGACCCTCTGCTCCACAGGGCCCTCCCGGTCCCAAAGGTGCTAAGGGTTCCTCGGTAAGTGTCCCTGGCCTGGATGGGAGGCGGGCAGGGACGCAGGGCTCCCGCAGGAGGTGCTGCTTCCCACGCGGTTTCAGGGACTGTTCCCGGTGGGCTTCTGTGCCCCCCTGCCCCCGTGACCGAGTCTCTCATCTCCCTCTCCAGGGCCCGACTGGTCCGAAGGGCGAGGCAGGCCAGCCAGGACCCCCCGGCCTGCCCGTAAGTTGTTGTGGAAGACACAAGGGGCTGCTGAGCCCAGGGACTCGGGTGGCGTCGGTGGGGTGGGGGTGGGCTCTGACGGCCAGGGAACTACCAGGGGCTTGTCTTGGGTTGTGGCAGCCAGACACGGAGTCGCACAAAGTCTACCAAGGAAGGAGCCGTCCCCAAGAGAGGGAGAGTCAAGAGAGAGGCTGTGTGTGTGTGTGAGTGTGCGTGTGCGTGGGCAAGGGGATGTTGGGAGGGGGTGGGCAGGTGTCAGGGCTGAGACACCCCCAGGTGCTAGTGGAGCGCCCCCAGGACACTCCCTGCTTGGGTAGTGGGGAGCACCCGCACTCTGGAACCTTCCAGAAGTGTCTGGCTCCTCGCATGCGCAAGCACTGGTGCCTCTGGCTGTGACTGGGAGGGAGGCCGCAGGTCTGAGCTTTGCGGAGGAGACAGGAAGGGCTGGGCCTCGGGACACCGGGGATGACGTGGCTTGGTGGGGTGCAGGCAAGACCAGCCCACGCAGATGGGGCAGAACATTCTGGAAACAGACGCGTGCCGGGTGGGCACGAGGCTCCGCTGCCGGCCTCGCCCACCCACGGCTGCCCCTTCGGCACGCAGGGCCCACCGGGCGAGGTCATCCAGCCCTTGCCGATCCAGGCGTCACGGACGCGGCGCAACATCGACGCCAGCCAGCTGCTGGACGACGGGGCCGGCGACAACTACGTGGACTACGCCGACGGCATGGAGGAGATCTTCGGCTCACTCAACTCGCTCAAGCTGGAGGTGGAGCAGATGCGACGGCCCCTGGGCACGCAGCAGAGCCCCGCGCGTACCTGCAAGGATCTGCAGCTCTGTCACCCCGACTTCCCCGACGGTGAGGCGCCCCGTGTGCTGGGGGCAGGGGCACCCGAGGTGGAGCACACCACCCTGGTCACGCCTTGGCCGTCTGCCCCGCGAGGCGGTGGTCTCGGGGACCGGGCCGCAACCCCCGCCTGCTCATGTGAGCCCCAAGTCCCGGCCCGATCCCCCAGCAGGTGCCTCCTAACTCTGCCGTCCCGCCTTGTGCCTCGGAATGCAGGTGAATACTGGGTGGACCCCAACCAAGGGTGCCCCAGGGACTCCTTCAAGGTGTTCTGCAACTTCACGGCCGGGGGCTCCACCTGCGTCTTCCCTGACAAGAAGTCCGAGGGGGTGAGTGACGCGGCCGGGCCTCGCGCGCGGGCTCCGGGGCTGCAGGCAGAGGCTGCGTTGGGGAAACAGGATGAGCACGGGAGAGCCCACCATCGGCTCATTCCTCGAGATGCCCCAGGCCGCCGAGCAAGTGTCCAGAGCCAGGGGCTGCGTGCAGGTGCCCCCGGGGTGACGGGCCGCCAGCAGGTGCTGCCAGCGGGGGCGGGGCCGGGTGCTCCCGTATGGGACACAGGTGTCAGCTCAGACATGAGGGGCGGTGCTGCCCACCTGCAGCCTGTGGCGGGCTCGTGACCGCCGGCCACCACGTGTCCTTCCAATGACTCCGGTGTGTGTGGGAACGCCCAGGGCACTTTAAAGGTCTCTGGGGAGGGGAGACAGAGTCACACCCGCAGAGTCGTCCGCAGGGGGCTGGTCTCCGGAGCCCCATTGCCGTGCTGTCCCGAGCAGCGGGCTGTCCCAGCGGGGTCCTGAGTCGCTAGAACTCTGCCGGTTAACGCAGGGTCCTGCAGGAGCAGGTGACCCTGGGGACAGTGGTGCGGAGTCCTCCGAGCAGCGAGCTGGTGGCTCTCCCGGGGCCTCAGAGCTGGGGGGATGTGTGCGCACGGTGAGCGTGTGGGTGTGTGTGAGCGACACGGATGCACACAGCAACGCCTGCGTGGCTGTAGGGTCACTTTGGCCCAGGACGAGGAGGAGGACACGGTCTGCTCGCCACCCGGTGGGAAGGTGATGCCCGCAGCCTCTGTGCCTGCATCCGGCGGGAGCAGGAACGCCGCCCGGTCCGTGCTCTCCCGGCCTGGCTGCGTGAGGTTTTACTAGTGAAGATGTATTTGTTTATGCGACAGCAGGATTATATATCAAGAGAGATCTTCCACCAGCTGGTTCACTCCCTGAGTGGCTCCCCAGCTGGGGCTGGTCCTGACTGAAGCCAGGGGCCAGGAGTCTCTGCTGGGTCTCCCACACGGGTGCAGGGACCCAAGGCCTTGGACCAGCCGTGCTTTCCAGGCCCCAGGCAGGGAGCTGGGTTGGAAGTTGAGTGGCCAGGACTCAGACTGGCTCCCATATGGGCTGTTTGCACCACTGGCCATGGCTTTCCCCACTGCACCACAGTGCCAGCCCCAGGGCGGGCTGGTTCTTATCACCGTCCCCAGCGTTCTGGAGTCTGCAGCATGTGTGTGTGTGTGTGTGTGTGTGTGTGTGTGTGTGTGGCGGGGGGGTGACTTGGCCCTCCTGCACCTGTGGGCAGCCTCCGAATGGCCCCTGCTTGCTGCCTCCGAATGGCCCCTGCTTGCTCTAGGCGATTCAGCCCATTCTTCTGCCAGCTACAGCTGGAAGGCAGCATGCCCTACCCCCTGGCACTCTGGCTGTAGTCCTCCTCCTTGCTGGAGTGCCAAGCCCCGGGGTGTCCCGGGGAACCGGGCTGGAGTCTGCAGGCTGGGCCCTCAGCTTAGCCCACGGCCTCGCCCCTGAGGGCACATCGAGGCAGCCCTGGGCCTCCGGAAGTCTGTGGGGACTCTGCTGCTGCTTCCCGTCCGAGCTGGGTGCTGGTAACAGCCGTGTGGAAGCAGGGGTGAGGGCAGCAAGGCCCGGGTGGGACGGGAGAACCATGCCCTCGCCCAGCACTCTCCTCCGGGGCACCCGGCCAGTCTGCGAGGGCAGCAAGCCCTGCTCGCTGTGAGCTCTCAGGACAGCCGAGACCCCCCATGGGACCCTGGCAGCCGCAGCTCCCCCATTCCTGCCTGGAGAGCCCAGGGTAAGGCGAGGCTGGCCCTGAAGCCGGTGCCGTGTGGACCCCTCCCGGAGGGACCAACATGTGGTGCACTGCTCTGACAAAGGGCGTGCGTGCTGCTTTGCAGTTCCAGAAGGCCCTGGGCAGGGGGTCCAACCTGGGCTCCCCAGACAGAGAAGCCCCCCGCCCTGCAACATACCACACACAAGCAGGGTAGCCGACTTCAGCCCCTCCCATCCTCACCTTCCTCCTGGCTTCCCCTGGCATCCTCGGCCGTGGGCAGCCACGGAGCACCTGGCAGTGCCCCAGAGAACACACAGGTCAGATGCCCACGAAGGCCGACCTCCTGCGGCCGTGACGGGCGCTGCAGGGACCCTCCGGGCAGCACTCCGGCTGGGAGCAGGGTGGACCCCGCTCTGGCGGCGACAGAAGTAACCCCTTTGCTCTCTCTTTCTCTCGCATCCATGGCGCCTGCAGGTGAGGATCACCTCTTGGCCCAAGGAGAACCCCGGCTCCTGGTTCAGCGAATTCAGGCGCGGGAAGCTGGTAAGGGGGCCTCTGTCATGCCGGCGGTTGTGGCCTCAGCCGCCCGTCTCGTATCTTGCAGAGTAAAATGGCCCGCTGGCCCAAAGAACAGCCTTCCACCTGGTATAGTCAGTACAAACGAGGCGCCCTGGTAAGTGACGCGGGCGCTGCTGCTGGTCGCACAGCTCTGCATGGGCCCTCGCCGCCCGGTCACGCCTGCTGCTCGCCCGGGCCCACGCACCACGCCCCGTGGCAGTGAGGCTCAGTGAAGGAGCACCCACCCTTCCCGCTGAGACTGGCCGGTTTGCCTGATGCGACCCTCCTCTTGCCAGACCTGGGCCCCCTGTCCGGGTCTGGATCAGACCCCAGGAGCGGCTCCTGGGGCCTCCTGTGCACCACGGGACCATGTCTGTCCAGGCTGTAACTTCTGGGGTGCACCTCTGCCACCCCAAGCCCCGGGGCGAATACATCCGCCTCCCTTAAAGGAGCGTGCCTTGCGCACTCTTCGAGCCCAGCCGGGTGGGCAGATGGATGCCCCATGGGAGCCCTTGGCCGCACGCACAGTGCCCCGGCTTGAAGTATGAACAGGGCACGTCCTCTTCCAGTTCAAGGAGCAGGATCGGGGCCGGGCTGTTCGGAGCCCAGGGTTCCTTTTCTCCATCTGTTCTCGGAGTCCAGTGCAGGGCAGCTCTCCCACGGGAGGAGGCTCTGGGTCCCAGGGCTCCCAGCCTGTCCGTCAGCCAGCAGTGCTGCCCTGCAGCCGAGGACCAACCCCAGCTGCTCTGGGTGGGCACAGAGGCCACGAGCCCCCTAGGCCACACCCAGCCCTGGGCTCGGTGAGCTCTACACAGCTGGGCCTCTGGGCACTGCCTGCTGCCCTAAGCCCTGGGCGTCTGTTCCCCATCAATGCTGGAGGCTGTCACTACACCACCGCCCTCCCCCACTCCCAGCTTCCTCTGCAGCTTCGCTGTGGGGGTCTCGGGTGCTCGCACGCCCCTGCCACCTGTGCGCTCTGCAGAGAAAAGCTCGCAGAAGGACCTGAGAGGGACAGCCCGCGGGCAGGGAAGGAGGGATGAGGCGGGCAGGAGCCGCCCAGGGAAGGTGGGACCAGGCCCCACCCCATCTCCCCCAAGGCCACCTCCCGGCTGAGGCACAGTAACCGTGGTCCCCAGCCTTCTGTCCTGTTCCGCAGGTGAGGGTCAGGGCCAGCGCCAACCTGGGGACAGAGTGCCCGGCCTTTGCCGTGTCCCTGTCCCATGCCCAGCTCTCTGGGCAGGATCTAGATGAAGGGGCCACTCAGAGAAGCTAGTCCTTTATGGGAGCTGGACCCAGAATTGTCCCATTGCGAGCCCCCGCCGGGCAGGCCCAGACCCTGGGGCGCTAGGCTCCCGGGTCTCAGGTCCTTCTGCAAGCGCTGCTGCCCTGGCCGCCCCTGCATGCGTCCCCTCGAGTCAGTCACACCCTCCTGGAGGAGCCCGATGGCCCGGCTGCCGGTTCGTATTCCTCTCCCCCCACAGGTCCGACGGGCATGGGCGTGTGCCATGCCAGGCGCTCAGGGGCCCAGCTTGCTCTGGTTGAAGTTGGGTGCAGGGCATCGCCCTAGCCACCCCGTGTGCAAACACTCCTGGCAGGTTGAGCCCATGTGGTCACCTGCTGGCCACGTGAGGAGGATAGGGACAGCTTGCTCTTGCTCAGCATCCAGGAAGTGGAGCCCCTGGGCCCCATGGGCGCCTGCGGTGCTGCCACGGGGACAAGGTGGAGTGGATGACTCTGTACCTGCCGGTGTCCTAGGCCCCCGGCTGGGGACCAGGCTGTCAGGGCCACTGCCCATGTTAGAGCGGTACTCGCCCCTTTGACACCTGCCACCCGCCAGGGCCCTGGGAGCAGAGGCCAGCACCCAGTCCTGGGCAGCCTCGTGGGGAGAGCAGCTGCCTGAGCCCTGGCCCTGGGGACACCCAGCTGCTACCTTGGAGAGGCTGGAGGTCGGCCTTGAACAGACCTCAGTCAAGGTGGCCAGCCCCTGGAGTGGGGGAAGGGCTGGGTCAGGTGTAGGAGCCTCTAACCCAGGCAGGCTTCCTGGAGGAAGCAGCACACAGATGGAATACAGAGGCTGAGCAGGGGCCAGCCAGCCCGCGAGGAGGGGACGGGATGTTTGAGTCCCCAGGGAGCCGGGTACGGGTCACAGTCCACTTTGGTGGCAGGGACCCAGAGAGCCGAGGGGCGCCCGGGCCCGCCTGGCTGAGCCCGCCTCCCCGCCCCGCAGCTCTCCTACGTGGACGCCGAGGGCACCCCTGTTGGCGTGGTGCAGATGACCTTCCTACGGCTGCTGAGTGCCTCCGCCCACCAGAACGTCACCTACAACTGCTACCAGTCAGTGGCCTGGCAGGACGCCGCCACGGGCAGCTACGACAAGGCCATCCGCTTCCTGGGCTCCAACGACGAGGAAATGTCCTATGACAACAACCCTTACATCCGCGCCCTGGTGGATGGCTGTGCGGTGAGTCATGGGCGGCCCGGGCTGCGGACGCCTGCCGGGGCCGTGAGTGTGTGTGTGGGTGTGTGGGTGTCCGTGTCTGTGTCTGTGTGTGTCTGTGTGTTCAGAGTGCACCTGCGACCAAGCACCCAGCTCATGCCAGCTCCCTGTGACGCTGGGGTCTCCAGAGGCGTGGGCACTGCCATTCCGGGCTGCAGCCTGGCTCACTGGGGAGCTGTGGCCGGGACCTGGTTGTGCTGAGATTCTCAGCTGGGGGCGTCCCTCGGTCACTGCATCTTCTCCCCTGCTCTGGAGTCTGCCAGGATCACCCCGTCCCTGAGTCCACCCCGGGCCTCTCCCTGTCGATGCTCGGTGTCCCTGGGGCCCCTCCGAGTCCCCAGCTTCCACCCCACTCTGGTCACAGTGGCGTGTGCCCTGTTGGGGGTGAACTTGAGCTCACGCTGAGTCCCATATGGAGGAGCTGAGATGCCAGGATCAGGTGCTGTCTGCCGAGAGAGCCTGATGCTATAGGCCCCAGCCCCAGCTGGCAAGCCGTGCGGTCTGGCAGGGATGCAGGGGCGGGGTTGATGAGGCGGGGTCTGGGGTGGCCACTCCCCCAGCCGGCCACACCCTCAGTCCCTGGAAGGGCTCTTCCAACCACAGGGTCTGCAGACCCCCTGCCCCCAGGAGGCGGCTTTGTCAGTGGGGAGCTTTTAAGGTCAGGTGCATGGTCAGGTGGGAGCCAACAACCCTGCCCAGGCGCTGAGCTCCCCTCACTGTGGGGCTTTGCAGGTAGCGGTCAGCTCATGAGGCCTGACTGCGACACCTGGGTGCCCTGTGTCACGGCCAGGGTGTTGCGTGCACCAGCTTTGCGTCGGGCTCCTGGGTCTCGAGCTGCTCCCACCTCTGCCTCCCCTACAGAATATCGTTGAAGCCCCTGCTGGCCAGGTCTGGGGGAAGCCCTCAAATGGCACCTTAAGACATCTGGAGATGCGTCTGACTGCCCGCATGCCGTGGCTCCCTGGTGTTGGCACAGCTAGGCAGGGTGCCAGGCAGGGGCAGGAGAGACGTGACTTCTGTGAGGCCACGAGGTCGGGGCTCAGAGCGGCCCCGCTGCTGGGGAAGCAGGGTCTGCAGCCAGTGGAGAGGGGTCCTGTGCACTACCCCCCGGCCTGGGCTGGAGGAGCCACACCCCACATTGAGTTACGGGGCAACCAGGGCCCGAGGGCTCACCAGCTTCATTCCGTAATAACAGCCCAAGAGGGTGAGATTCCTCCATGGGCATCCAGGGGCAGGGGGGCCAGCAGTGCAATGGACAGGGCTGCCATGCGGGCCAGGTGCAAGGAGAGGCACAGGTGAGTGGGGGTGGGAGTGGGCAGGCCACGGCGTAAATCCTCCTGCGGTGCGGCTCCGGGCAGCCCCCAGGAACACCGATTGCCCGTAATGGTTGTTTATGCCTCGGGACAAGGAGGTACGGCGTCCGCTTTCCCCACGCCCCCGGTCAGCACTCTGCTAACTGGAGCATGGGGCCCCATAAGCCTGGGGAAACGGCAGCATACGCTTGGGCCAGGCACAAGTCCTATGCTGCCGTCACTCACCCAGCTCACAGCTCTGATGGGGCACCGTCTCTCCCCCCAGTCTCACCCCAGAGGGAGCCAAGACCTGGGGGGTGGGGAGGAACAGGCACACTGGCCTCCAGCTTCTGCCACCCCCAGCAGCTCGGGGTGCAGGCTTCAGGCCAGAACAGTGGGGCCTGCCCAGGCTGCAGGACCCCGGCTTCCCTAGAAATCAGCGCTGTGGGCGGCCAGCAGTGTTGGGCCACCCTGGCCAAGGTCCTTTGGGACAGCGGCTCTCGGGGGACAGCCAGTAAGCAGAGGCCACACTTCCTACATGCAGCCTGGAGCCAGGGCCAGGCTGGGCACCGTGCACCTGGGGGGCTGCCATCCAGGGCCAGGCTGGGCACTGTGCAGTTGAGGGGCTGCCATCCAGGGCCAGGGTGGGCACTGTGCACCTGGGGGGCAGCCATCATGGGCCAGGCTGGGCACTGTGAAGTTGGGAGCTGCCATCCAGGGCCAGGCTGGGCACTGTGCACCTGGGGGGCAGCCATCATGGGCCAGGCTGGGCATTGTGCATTTGGGAGCTGCCATCCAAGGCAAGACCAGCGGGTGTGTGGTAAAAGATGCCAGCCTCTGAAACCCTAGTGGTGTTGGGGAGGGCGTTATGGTGTTTGGCCTCCCTAAGAGAACTGGACACTTGGCTCAGAGTCTGGGGTCAGGGGGCACGCCCTCAACTGGGAGCAGTCTGGGGTTGGGGGGCAGGCCCTGTAACTGGGTGCGGAAGGCGGCCCTCCTAGGCAGTACATGCCACCAGGGCCTGCTCCCCACACTTCTGGAGGGTCCCTGGGGGCCAGGCTCGGGCTGTGCCAGGCCTCATGTTCCCAGTACACCTGTCCCTGGGAAGCACTTGAGGCTCCACACAGAGGGGGCCCCCGGGTCCATGCTGTTTGAGAAAGCGTGATACGCAGTTTGAGTCTGCAGGACACAGAATGGGTAGTGGCGGGGAAGGGCAGGCGGCCAGTCGAGGGACCCCGAATGGCCCCACATCCTCATGCAGAACCCCCTGCTCCCCTCCTGTCCCCAGACCAGGAAAGGCTACCAGAAGACAGTGCTGGAGATCGACACCCCCAAGGTGGAGCAGGTGCCCATCGTGGACATCATGTTCAATGACTTCGGCGAAGCCACGCAGAAGTTTGGGTTTGAGGTGGGGCCGGCGTGCTTCATGGGCTAGGAGCGCCACCGGCCCCAGACAGCAACCTCGTGACCTCAACACGTGCCCGCCCTCGGGAGCCCGGCCCCTCACCGCGCCCAGAGAGCCGAATCACATGACCTAGCCACACCGCAGCCTCCCGGGACGCACCCCACGCCTACGCCACGCAGCTTGCCCCGTCTGACGCGTGGTGGTGGACTGGCGGCTGCTGGAGTCTTTGGATCTCACTTCCTTTCTAACTTGAAGATGCGGATTGTCCCCAACCCGCCCCACCTGTCCCCGAGGCGGGGCCCTGTGAGGTCCGCGGTGCCACCAAAGCCCCCAACTTGGTCCTCGGCGATGGGGGGCCGGGGCCGTCCCCCGGGTGCCTGTTCCGATGGACCCACGGTGCTTGTGTTTCTGTGAGTTTTAAGTAAATATTTGTATTGTGTTGTTGTCCGTGTTACGTGTGCCTGTCTCACTGGTGCAGGGAGCTCCAGCTTTGGGCCCTCGGGGGCAGAGGAGGAAGGGGCCGGGCCGCTGTGCTGGTGGCCGTGGTTCCGATGGGGAGTGGGGCACCTCCCACGCCCTGCCCTGCCCCTGCCCGGCATGGTTGGGGGTACACCAGACCAGTCAGCCCGGCGCCTCTTCCCCGCCCCCTTTGGCTCCAGACTTTGGTGGGGAGGAGGACCCAGAGTGACACCTGACTGCGTGCCGGCCCCCTCCCCGGGAGCAGCCAGGACACGGCTTCCGGTGGGTGCTCAGTGCTCGGTGATCCCGGGAGCGGCCAGGACACAGCTTCCGGTGCTCGGTGCTCAGTGATCCTGGGAGCGGCCAGGACACGGCTTCCGGTGGGTGCTTGGTGCTCCCGGGAGCAGCCAGGACACGGCTTCCGGTGCTCCGTGAGGACCCCCGACATGCGGACCCACTGCTGCCTTCACACCTCTCCTTTGCGGTGCTATCTCCAGACCCGCCCCGGCGGCCACACCTCTGCCCCCAGCTTCCTTGTTCCTGGCCGCGGCTGCCACTGGAGGTGTGTTGTCCAGGCTGTTAGCTTCCTGGGCCTGAGAGCAGCCAAGGCCCCCACGACAAGCAAGCGTCCCGAGGCGTGCCGGTCCGGAGGTTTGTGGTGCTAACTGATGCTCTGAGAGCTGACCTGGTGCTGGCGGCTCCCCCTTCCTGGGGCCTGGGCAGTGCAGTGACCCCAGGAGTCTCCACGGGGCTGCCCAGGGCTTCCTGCCCACGTGAGCAGCTGCCCCGGAACCCAGGGGGCTCGGCAGGAGGACCCCAGGGAACGAGCCACCGCTTCGGTGCTGTCCTGCCCCCGCAGAATGTGGCTCCCGGCCGGAGACACGGCAGAGCTGGCGTGCCGGCCCCCGAGGACCTCACAGAGAACGCCTTGCTGTCTTGCCAAAGAACAGCCTGGCCCCGGGACCCTGAGCATGCCACCGCCTCCCACATCTCTGAACAAGAAGCTGTACCCAAGGACTGCCCTGTGTGCCTAGGTCATGTGGTTCTGCCTCTGTTTCTTGCCTGAGTCACCCTCTCGTTCTGTTGCCCTCCTCCGTGGGTCTCTTCCCAGTCCTTGTGGTTTGTATCCAAGTTCCAAATGTGTCCTTTGCTCTCAGACCACTCTAGCTATGGTATATTGCAATAAAACTACGTCTTGTATTTGCACCAAGTCTGTGGACCTGGCTTACTTGTCCTCCCCGCCCCCATAGGTGACCAGCAGGTACACAGAAGGCCATGCTGTCATGCCTCGTGCTCGGTCATCAGGTAGAAGGCTGGTCAGGTCAGGCGAGCAGGACAGGGGCGGCCCATCCCAGCCGGTGACCTCGGGCCCGTGAGCCGTGACCTCTGCCGCTAGTCCTGGTGACCGCTGGGGTCAGTGCTTCCTGTGGCCTCTACGCTCCCTCTTCTGGACAGTTAGCCGGGAGTGAGGTCACCAGGCCGGGGGCCTCCCAGCGCAGAGATGACACTAGGTGTCTCCTGGCGGGGGCTACGAAGGCGTCAGCCCCAGCGTTGTCAGGGGTCGCTCTGTGGTGCCAGACAGAGGATTCTGCCGGGGTGCTTCTCTCTGGGGGGCCACTGGGACCCTCCATGGTGTTACTGCGGTATAATACAGGGCAGCTTCCCACATGCGCTGAGGTTGCCAGTGGTTACTGCATTGCTTTGCTTCCCACAGACGCTCTGTATTCTATAGGCCCCTCATACATACAGGCTGATTTGTAACTCCCTACCTAACCCATCCACCCACCACTCACCATCCCCCTACCCATCCATCCGTCCGTCCATCTGTCCATCCATTTGTCTACTCATCTATCCATCCACCCATCCATCCACCCGTCCGTCCACCCATCCGTCCATCCATCCATCCACCCGTCCATCCACCCGTCTGTCCATCCATCCATCCACCCGTCCATCCACCCGTCCATCCATCCATCCACCCATCCATCCACCCGTCCGTCCATCCATCCATCCACCCATCCATCCACCCGTCCATCCATCTGTCCGTCCACCTGTCCATCCATCTGTCTACTCATCTATCCATCCATCCATCCACCCATCCATCCATCCATCCACCCGTCCGTCCATCCGTCCGTCCACCCGTCCGTCCATCCGTCCGTCCACCTGTCATGTGCCATTCACACTCCCAGCGGGAGAGGAGCAAAGGGGCAGAGCTAGGTTCCAGTGTAGGAGGAGAGATGGGCAGAAGTCACACACACAGTCACACATCTTGTGTCTACTAGCTTGCTTGCCCAGTGGCCACAGTGGCCAGAGCCGGGCCAAGCTAAAGCCGGGCGCTCTGTGCAGGCCTCCCACATGGGTGCAGAGATCCGGGCACCTGGGCCAGCTTCATGTACCCAGGTGCATCAGCGGGAGCAGGGGTCAGGATTGGAAGTGGAGCCACAGGGATTGGATACAGAATGCCGGCATGCGAGGCAGCAGCTCAGCCCACGGACAACAACACCGGCCATCGCTCGGTCCTGTCTGCTGTCTCACACAGAGAAGAGGGCTCAGCGCATTGCGGTGTTTTCCAGAAAGATCACTCCACATGCTCCCAGCTCCATCTTGCAGGCACACTTCCCCAACTGCCTTTGACAAGGCTGCTGAAGGATTCTTGGCCATCCACTAGGGTTCATTTCACAGCTTTAAACATTCTAATTGCATTTACCAAATGAATATATTAATACACTCAAATTCGTATTTCACCGTCTCCGCAGCCGGCTGAGCAAAGCCTTCTGGGTACAAGCTCATTTTCAGAAATGTAATCATTTAGGCGCCTGAACGGGCCGAGTGTGCGTGTTGGAGGCCGCGGCCGCACAGCCAGAGCCCCGTGAACCCGCCTCTTCCTTGGCCGCAGTGCACACTGCCCTCTGCTATGCCGCTTCTCGCCGTGCGTGTGAGGCCTGGGGGGTGCACAGCCTCCAAGACCCCGTCCTGGCTGGGGAGCCCCAGCAACGAACGCACAGCCAGGCCCTGCCAGACCCCCAGCCACCTGCTCTGTGCCCCCTGCCTGTCTTGTAGCCCCCTCAGCCTCCCAACATCAGTGTCCCTGAGGTGCCACTATCTCACCACGCCCACTCCCAGCCCCCCTCCCCACGACTCAGAGCAGCCCGTAGCAGGGACCCCTTCCTAGCTGCCTGGAGCATCTGCAAGGGAAGCCCTCGGGCTGGGCACAGGGGGCTGTCAGGGCAAAACTGGATGGGAACCGGAGGTGGAGGCCCAGCAGCCCCAGCCCCGCCCTGCTCTGCCTGCTCAGCTCCAGCCCCGCCCTGCTCTGCCTGCTCAGCTCCAGCCCCGCCCTGCTCTGCCCGCCCAGCCCCAGTCCTGCCCTGCTCTGCCCGCCCAGCCCTGCCCTGCTCTGCTCTGCCCGCCCAGCCCCAGCCCTGCCCTGCTCTGCCCGCCCAGCCCCAGCCCTGCCCTGCTCTGCCCGCCCAGCCCCAGCCCTGCCCTGCTCTGCCCGCCCAGCCCCAGCCCTGCCCTGCTCTCCCCAGCCACCCCTCCTATCAGGCGAGCTGGGCTGTACATGGACACAGGCAGAGCCTCTGCCAAGGAGGTGCCCGGGAGGCACAGTGGCCGCCGTGGGAGGGCACGGGCAGCTGGAGCCTGAAGAGCCAGCCGTGGACTTAGAAACGGCCGCTTTGAACCCGGCCCGACTGACGGGGCTCCAGCTGCACTGAGGGAAGACGAACGGCCGAGGCTCTGCTCACCTGGCAGTACTCTGTGGCCTGGGGCTGAACTTTGTAACAAGCAAAGGCCTTAGGGCAGGCGGACACAGGTGTGTGCTCATCAAGTGTGCACAGAAGCGCATTTGCATGTGTGTGTATGGGAGAGCGCGTGCACACACAACACGACACGGACTCGCAACACACACTCTCCCTCTCTCTCACGCTGCCTTACAAACAGCACGAGCGACTGAGAACAATCGACACATTGATTTTAGCGGCTGCGGCTGCCTTGGAGGCCCAGGCAGCGAGACCAGGCAGAGCACCAAGGAGCGTGCAGGCTGACGGCCACGGGGCTGTGCCGGGCACGCGACGCCGTGGCGTGGGGACAGAGCCGGCACGGACACGCGCGATGGATCCGGGTTGGATTGCATGCTCTAATAATGGAGGACTCCCCCTGCCCCGCCGTCTGATGAGATGGACGCGGGACAGCTGTGTAATAAACCAGCCCGTGGGATTCCAAACGAAGGCTGAGACTGAGGACGGCTGCTCCGTGCTGCCAGCAGGCTCAATTCAGCAAGGACAAGGATAAGCCGCTCGAACTCCAGGCTAAGAATGAAGCTTGAACGAATAGGAGGGACCTGGCACAGATGGCGAGGGGCGAGTGCTCCCCTTGTAAGAGTGAGAGCCCATATAGGTGTCGGCTCATGTCCTGGCGCCCCACTCCCCATCCAGCTCCCTGTTTGTGGCCTGGAAAAGCAGTTGAGGACGGCCCAGAGCCTGGGGACCCTGCACCTGCCTGCAAGACCAGGAAGAAGCCCCTGGCCCCTGGCTTCACTGTGGCTCAGCTTCAGCCATTGCAGCCACTTAGGGGAGGAAACCAACTAATGGAGGACCTTTCTCTGTCTTTCCTGTCCTCCATAAATCTATCTTTCCAAGAAAAATAAATAAATCTTCAAAGAACATGAGGAAAGAAGCCCTGCCTTGGGAGAGTGGGCGGGAGTGCCTTTCTTTGGCTCCGGCCACTGAGACCACTGGGGGAGGGACCCGCAGGTGGAGGACCCTGTCTTGTAAGTCTCTCAAGTAAAACACTTGTTTAAAAGGCCACAAATGAGACCAAGGTGTTTTATGAGAATCATTGCCCATTGGCCTAAGAACTGCCCTCACTTAAGCGCTGTCCCCTGGCTCTGGGGGGCCAGTCGGGTGGCCCTTGGTCAGCTGGCAGCCCCCCAGTGTGGGTGGCAGAGTTTGGCATCTGCAGGCCAACCCAGCAGGTAAGGGGCCTGGTCTGG